GGCGTGTCCTCACTACCTGATAACTCTCTCATTAATTCCTGTGCTCAAGGCATCATCACATGCCAGAAACTTTTCTGACCCCTTTCTTTACCCCCACTTTCCATGCACCCCCCCCAAACTGGGCTAAATGTCTGCCCTTCTAACACCAATATATTTTATTTTATTTTAATTTTTTTTAATTGTTTGAAGGATTACAAATAGTAATACATATGACACCTTTTTCCCCCCTTGACCTCCCCCTAGCCTCCCCTATCCCCCCACACACATATGCCTTCACCTTCCCCATCCCCCCATGTCTTGTATCCATTGGTTATGTTTATATGCATGCATATAAGTCCTTAAGTTGATCTCTTACAACCCCCTGCCCCCAACCTCCCTTGCCTTCCCGCTATAGTTTGACAGTCTACTAGGGGTGTCGAACTCCATCAGAGAAGGGGCCAAAATCTAAAATCCAGCCTAAATCGCGGGCCGAATGGTTTACTGAACAGTCATAAACTGTCATTGTGATGGAAACGCAGCGGAGTGCAGTGATGACAGCGCGGTGCGAGCCACATTGCAAGGCCTGGCGGGACGGATTTGGCCCGCGGGCCTTGTGTTTGACACATGTGGCAATGGTTCTTTATCTCTATAACTATTTTTCCCCATTTTTTTTCTTTGAAAAATCTTGCAACTGCAGACTAGAAATAAGCATATAATTAAAAAAACAAACAAAAAAAAAAAAAAAAAACGTTTGAGTCCCAATTTCAGTGTCCAACAGTTCTGAGACTCAGTTTCAATATCAAATAGTTCCTTATATCGATATGTACATGTCAGCAATGATATCTGGATGATGGACAGATGGCACTGCAGATCTGACCCTCTCTGGTTTTGTCCTGGGCAACCTGCAGCAATGCACAGCTGCTAACTGCTAGCCTGGCCAGGAGTCGTTAGTGTCTTCCATGTCTGGACTATTTATCTTCTTGTCATTGTGGTTGGAGCAGACCTGACAACTCCTCTATGTTGCAGGAATCCCCATGGTCTTGGAGTAGTTTTCTGAAAATATATACACATATTCTCGACCAAAAGTTAATAAAGGAATCTTTTCCATAAAATTGACTTTGGATCCTTTTTATTTTTGTCCAAATGATTTTCCTTTGGCTTGTTTTGACACCATGTGTGATTTTCGTGGGTGTCTTGCTGTTAGCATTACAAATGATAATTAATTTTCTACAGTAAAAAAACAATATATTTTTCTATCACAATTGCAATTGTACTAAATTGTAAGTATTATTTTTTGTGTCTGTCCCACTTCCTCAGTTCTAAGTTTAGTTAATACACAAGAATCTCCACTACTTAGATGCAGGAAATGTATCTCTCTTGTTCTACAGTGGAACAAAGTGGACTCTCAATAAATATTTGCAGAATGAATAAATCTCCTAGAGTTCTAGTAAAAGTTCAGATTTCCAGGTTTCATCCCTAAAACATAAAAAGTGGTTCTCACTCTAGCCACTTTATCTCAGTGGATAGAACATCAGCCTATGGACTGAAGGATCTGGGTTTGCCTCTAGTCTCCCATCAAGGACATTTATATTGGTTGCAGGTTTAATTCTCCAACCTAATCAGGGAGCATGACAGTTCACATCGATGTTTCTCTGTGTCTCTTCCGCTCCCTTCCAACTCTCTCTAAAAGTCAATGGAAAAATATCCTCAGGTGAGGATTAACAAAAAATAAAAATAAAAAATAAAAATGATTCTCTTGTAAATGACCCAGGAACCTTGTTATTCTTAGAACCTAGACTCGGTATACTTAGCATTTCATTAATTTTTTTTTCAACCACTTGTATTAATTTGCTAGGGCTGCCATAACTACCATTGATGGAGTGGCTGAAGCTACAGGAATTTGTCTCTCAGTTCTGGAGGCTGGAAGTCTGAAATAGATATTATCAGGGTTAGTTCCTTCTAAGAACTGTGAATAAAAGATCTGTCCAAGGAGTCTCTCCTTGGCTTATGGATGGCCATCCATATGTTCACATTGTGAAATCCCTGTATTCATGTCTTTGCGCACATTTCTCTGGTCTAGAAGGGCACCAAATCACAATGGTTTGAAGGCCCATCCTATGGGCTTCTCTTAACTAAATACATCTGCAAGAACCCCACTTCCAAATAGAGTAACATTCTGAGGTATTGGAGGTTAGAATGTCAACACATGAGACACAATTCAACTCATAACACCAGCTTTTATTTTGTTTCCTCTGACTCCTCTCCCATGAGAAATGTGCTATAGTATACTGAATATATGACAAACTCTGAAGAGGTCTGCTAATTTTGCTATGTCATTGTTAGCTAAAATGTGATGCTGGCATTACATATATACTTAAATTTACACAAGAATTATGTTCTTTAAAGGATGGGCTAATTAAAGTTTTGCTAATTTATGTTTTTAAAGGCACATAAGAATATGCCAATTAAAGTATTGCTTTGAAAAATCCTTGCGTAAAGTTTAGAATCTCTGTTAAAATAATTATTCTCTTGTACTGATCTTGAAACTTCAAATCAGATTTTCTTAAAAGCAGGGCATTTTTAAACTAGAAATATACAATTATTCTATGGTGAAGACAGACAAATTCTGAACAGATATGAGGAAAAATTTGGGGCCTCTAGGAAAATCCATGATAATGAACTACAGAACAAAAGTTTTACCTGAAAGTACAATTATGTGTACCAAAAATTAAGTTTTAAAAATGTAGACTAAATAAAGAAAACCCTAAACCTTATATTTAAGATGATGGTGCATGTCCAAATTCCAAATTAATTCAAAATATACTAATTAAGAGTTCACAATGTGTTAAAGGCTTTGATTTATAAAAATATGACCTTGTCTTCAAAGAGCTCATAGTCAAGTTATAAAGATGGATGTGTAAATAAATAGCTCTGATAAAGGCCAGGCTGTATTAGGAGTAACCATAGATTCAAGATGTTCCTAATTTTAAAATATTGTCCCTAAATTCCTGTATTTTCACATTAAATTTATATGTCCTGATTCTTCCCTCCTCTCTCCTCCCTCCTTTGCTCCCCTCTCCTTTCCTTTCTCCCTCCCTCCCTCCCTCCCTCCCTCCCTCCATCCCTCCCTCCCTCCCTTCCTTCCTTCCTTCCTTCTTCTTCTTCCTTCCTCCTTCCCTTCATTCCTCCCTGCCTCTCTTCCTCCATCTCTCCCTTTATTCTTTGGCTATAGTCTTTTTTTTTTTCATATTATAAATACTAGTCCTATATTTATATACATTGAAGTTTCCAAATTGTCTTTTGATTGTTTTTAAAAAAAACAGTTTGTACTAATACCTCTCCATGGGTTTGTATTCTCTAAGCATCAATTTCTCCATATCATAATTTTGATAATTATAGTATTTTCCACAAAGCAATACCTTGAACTTCAAAAGAGTTCATGTGCTTATAATAATATAGGCATAAATATTAGGTGATCTCTCTTTCTTCTGATTATTAGAGATCTTGGTTTTATTCCTAAGCATTTTCTATTTTCCTGGCTATTACAAACTATAGCTGCTTTGGAAATATTTTGATAATGAGAGTGTCTAGAATGGAGGGAATGTTATTTTACTGTCAGATTGTCATGATTTCATATAACTTAAAATATTCAAAAAAGTTAAGGGGTTATTTCTAGATGCCTTTCATATTGCATGAAAAATTTGCCACATGCTGTTCCTTCTGCTTATTTTCACTAATCAAACAAGAATTTATTACATAACCAACTTCCACAGATTACTAAACAAAGGAACACCAGTCTTCAGTGTTTTTCAACCACATTAGAGGAAGTCATCTGATAAATTGTGTTTGATTCTAGGCATGTGAAGTGAAGAGGATGAGAATCACAGCAACATTTTGTAGTTGTTCCAAATTACCAAATGTATTTTGATCTTAGCTTTTCCATGACATGTAACCAGATTATGTAATAGTAAATCCTTAAAAATGTTTTTAGCTATGATAATAACACAATTCAACAGCAGTAACAACAAAAATATGGCAATTTCCTTGACCAGGATACATTGACTGAAAGGAATTAAATGGTTCTAAAAGATTTAGGTAGATAGGCAAATGAAAATGATTGCTAAATGTTGTAAATATAAATATAGTAGTCCCCCTTACCCCTAGGGGATATGCTCCAAGATCTACCCCCTCCCCCCCAGTGAATACTTGAAATCACAAAAATACATACTATTTTTTCCTATACATATATGATAAATTTTAATTTATAAATTAGATACAGTAAAATTAACAATAATTAAATATAATAATTATAACAATATACTGTAATAAAATTTAATGTGAATGTGGTCTCTCTTAATTATATTGTACTGTACTCACACTTTTTCTTCTGATGATGTGACATGATACATTGTCTGCATGATGACATGAAGTGAAGTGAATAGTGTAGATCTTTTTGGACCAGGATTGACTGGGGATAAACGAAAATGCAGAAGGTGAAACCATGAGTAAGAGGGGACAGCTGTGCGTCATCTGCAGCATTGGTAATATGCAGTTTTGAGGATGTATATATAAAATTATATAAGTAAAATAAAATAGAGAACTAGAGCCTCGTAAATTTATTTTTAAAAATATTTTCTTGATTTTTGAAGAAAGATAAACATCATTAATTGGCTGCTTCCTGCATGCTGCCTACTAGGATGGAGCCCTCAACCTGGACATGTGCCCTGACTGGAAATCAAACCGGTGACCTCTTGATTCATAGGTTGAAGCTCAACCACTGAACCACTCCAGCTGGGCAAACTAAAGCCTTTATTTTTTACAAAGCCCATACCTCTCTCTCTTCATTTGCTTACATTATCTGACCCTTTCTTCACTTCCCATTACATATATCAACTTTTAGAAACACCACGCTATACATGGGTATTTGTTGATTATCTCTGTTGGACCATAACAACTCCTTTGTTCGTTTCTGAGAAATATAGTCCAAGGAAAATAACCATTTAACTTCTTATCTCTTTCAGGAACTTCTGGGACATGCCTGGAAGGATTATATGGCCATTCTTTTCACCCATGCAGAAAAAATAGAAGAAGCTGGGTTCAATGAAGCCGAATACTTACATGAGGCCTCCGATACACTGCTGACCCTTCTAAACTCTATTCAGCACAGATATATTTTCCAGCATAAAAAAGGAGACTCACTTAATGCACAAAGAATAAAAGTCTTAGAAAAAATAATGGAATTTATAAGAGAAAATAGTTACCAAGTTCTTACCTTTAAATAACATTGGGTTTTAATGCCAGAAACTTGGTTTCAAAAGTGCCTTTGTTAGAATGGATGTGAACCACGAGAATTCTAATATCCTGCCAGTAAAAGAGGACACTGGTATAAACACTATGGAAATTACCCAAATGTTCATCAACAATAGCATGGATAAGCAAATTGTGGTATTTTACACAATAACATGTTGTGTGGTGATGGGAATGAACAAACACCATGTTAACAGTATCTATGAATTGCCTAAACATAATGCTGAAAGCAAGGAGCCAAACATATTCCATAAGTGTTGTCACAAACTTGATTTTCAACAGTTGAGTACCTTTTTCATATATTCTTGTATTTTTTTTATTGATTTTTTTTTTTACATAGAGAAAGAGAGAGGGATAGAGAATTAGAAACATTGATGAGAGAGAATCATTGATCAGCTGCCTTCTGCACACTCCCAACTGGGGATGTGCCTGCAACCAAGGTACATACGTACATGCCCTTAACTGGAATCAAACCTGGGACCCTTGAGTCCACAGGCTGAAGCTCTATCCACTGAGCCAAGCCAGTCAGGGCTATTCTTGTCTTTGATTGGTGTTTTCATCTTATACACCTATTGCTAACAACAATTTGATCAATGTAAAGTCATACTTTACTGTTACCTTAATGTGCATTTCCCACACTACTACTGAATTGAATTGTTGTTTTTTGTAATCATGTTGGTCATTTAGATTTACTCTTTTATGAATTGATTGTTCATATTTTTTGTCCTTTTTTTTCTATTGGATTACTCCTCACAAAGATTGTGTTTAACCAAAACTTTAGAAAGGCTCCTGAACCTCTCTAGGCCCATCTGTGCCTTCTAAAATCTAGTTTTAGCAAGAACCCTGCTAAGTCAGTTTAATCAGAATCCTCTACCTTCATTTTTCTGATTGGATTTCTCATCCTCTATTATTCTCCTGGTGATGTTTGATCACCCTTGCTTGTCTGCAGCAGAGATCCAGTTAGGTCGATGTGGCCAGACTCCCCTGACCCTTGATGCTTTCTGTTGGTAACTGTCCATCCACAGATCCCCACCCTGGTATTTGGCTATAAATTCCAACTCCCTAATCTCTCTCCCCACAGTAAAATCCCATTGTGGTTCCTATATCTATATTGGTATTACCATCAGGTTTGCCTTACCAATTTTAACAGTGTCACTGAATATTTTTTTTCTTGAACACCTCCTGCTTGGCAAATTGGAAGAGCTCTTTATTGTAGATAATAGTCTTCTATCTGTCCTCCATGATGCATTTTTTTTCAATTATATTATTTATCCTTTAACTTTGTTTATAGTAACTTGTTTCAAATTAAATTTGTAAATTTTCTTCTGGTCATATATTTCTATGTACATGATATAAGGTAGGATTTTAGTTTCATTTCTCTTCAGATGTATAGTCAATTATATTTGCTTTACTTATTAAATAATCCATCCTTTTCTTACTTATGAAAGGTAGATAGACTGAGTTAGGTGTATGGATATATATATCCTTTATTTCTAGATCTATTATGGATTCTTAATTCTTTGCCATTACAATTTTATTCATAGTACTGTCAATATTAGAATAATTAAAATAATTGTATATCATTGCTTGATATATAAAAGATCAAGTTTCCCTTATGTTTTTGAAAATATTTTCTGGCTATTCTTAGGCATTCATTTGTATTTATATTTTCAGATCTTTTTTCCTAATTTCAAAAAAAAATATTTCTTTTTTTAGTGACTGTTTTTATGACCAATGACATTTTGTGATATTAAATCCTCCCATGCAAGCATACAGGATGTCTCTCCATTTTACTTTATTATTTACTTTATGTTACTATAGTTCTTGTATTTTTTTCTGTTTTGACTTGATAAAGTTTCTATCATTTTAATTTTCTTTCTTGATAATTTGGAAGTTCTCATACCCATTAAAGATTATTCCCTTGTTGCTGAATTCAGAACCAAGAATATACTTCTCTACTACTGTTTGATAACAAGGTAACTACTATTTCTTTAACCAAGAACTTTCATTCCCCACTGCATTATCCCCTCAACTATGAAAATAGGATCCTTAGAACACTTTCATCTCCCTTTTTCTCCTTCCCCTGCAACCCCTAGTGAAGAAGTCTTTGGAATCCTTTTCCTTTCCCCTTATTACCAGAATTTGCTAAGATATTTAATTATTTTACTTCCCCTTACAGATGCTCTTTCTGTTTTAAAAGTCCTCTCTTTTACCATTTACATGGTAGTTTATCATTATCTCTTTTACCTTAATATGTAAAATTAGAAAGTCCATTCCTCACTATTTTTCTCTTCATCTCCTCCATCTTTTGTTATCTTTTTGGTTAATGTATTTTCCTAATATCCTATCTTCAGAATTCAAGTATAGTAAAATTCTAATAGAGTATCCAAAACACATTAAATTCTATATGCTCTTTGTTGCACCATTATGCAACAGCAATCTAGCTCCTCAAAGTAATCAGCATCATGGATGTAGGGAATTATTTGTTAGTTGGTAATGGAATAGTTGAATCATAAGAACAGTGATGCAATGGCGTGAACATCTGTGCTGTGCTCCACCTGAAGCTGTTGTCAGCTTTTTCTGGACAACAGTATATCCATTTAATAAATTCACTACTATTGGAGATAATTACAACTTGCAACAAAAGACCCATGTGACCAGAACTAGCTCTAGGTAAAAATGTCCAGGAAGTTCATCTTTGGTATCCTGCCTTTAGACTCTATAATTTACAATCTTTCCTCCAGATGTCCAATCTATATGCTGTTCTTAACTAGAAGACAAAAAGTCTCTACTAAATTTTATATTTGACTGTGAGTGGTGGCCATGCAATGCAATATGCAGATTAAGTATCATAGAAATGTATATTTGAAACCTATATAATCTTATTAACCAATGTCACCCAATAAATTTAATAAAAATAAAAACATTGAAAAAAAGAATAATAACAAATTTTATATTCGGAAGTGTTTTGAACATTTTAGAGAACTGGAAGACAGCACATGATATTTCTGTGCAGCTGGGGTTAGAGTCTCATTAAGTATGTATCATCTTAGGGCATTATTAACTCACTCCTAATACTTACCAGGTCTGATTCTTACCAGGTACATATCACCTCAATTAGCAAGCTCAGATTTTCTTTTTTTAGTTATGTTTATCTACACTCTGCCTTATTTAAATGATATTCTTAATTTCCTGTTCTATTGATTTTCAGAAATATCAAATTATTTTTAAAAGGCTGTTATTTAATGTTAATATTGGCATTGCTATTTCCCAGACTTATTTAAAAATAATTTTTTAAGAGAAAGTTATCCTTTCACATGAAAACTGAAGGTTTTTAAAAAGTTATTTCTATCAAAATCACTCTCTTTAGCTAAAGTTATCAAAAGTGACTTTTAGTTTGCATTTTCATTAATCTTTTTCAAAGAGAATTCAAATTGTGGTGTTGATTCTGGATGATTCATGCACCATTCTTTCCAAATTTCCCAGGTGTGAAAAGTTGAGTGATGTTTTAAATTAACAAGTATCAACCAAATATGTAATCTTATATCTGAAAAGTTCAGTGGATGCATGTATTGAGAGCATTTCTCCACTGGGATATGTAATATTCTAATGAAGCAATTTGTAAAACTTTGTCAGAGCAGCCTTGATATGAAGGGGCAACACATAAACGCCACAATAGAAATGAGTAGATTTATTAATTTCTATTTGAACAATTCCATAGGCATCATGTAACAGTGGGAAAGGCAAGAAAAATATCCCTTCATTAGAAAGGACTTTTCTTTTTTCTTGCAAGTATTAAGCCCCTGGCTTGTTTCTGCTGCTGTTAGCATTTTAGCCTGCCAGATAGGAAAGGATGTTGTTAATGAAGACATAAAATAACACACACATTATTTCACTCAAAATCCAGAGAATTGGGAATAGCTTGTGTTAGAAGAGGGGTGGGAATAAGGCACAAGGGAAAAAAACAGGGAATACATAAGGGTTAAAAAAAATACAATATATAATAATTCACACTCTGAAATTGCAGATGGCTCACTTTCAAACTAACAATTATTTCACTGTTTAAGGCCTTTTCTCCCAATTTTTGAAGTTATACTCCTATGAATTATGCTAAGATTTATCTGAAGGAAAAACCGTAACTGTAAAAAGTGCAATAAGCAAGGATGTGTAAGTCACTAACTCTTTCCCATGCCAATAATTTGTTATTTGAAGAACCAGTTTTGTATAGAGGCATACCAGCCACCAGTAACTATTCTTCTTTTCATTATTATTATAAACTAGAGGCCCGGTAATGAATGGGTGGAGTCCCTAGGCCTGGCCAGTGAACAGGGCAGATCAGGGCAGGGCCAATCGGGTAGAGGGACCATAGGCTGATTGGGGCCTGCTGGCCGGGGAACACTGGCCCCAAGGAGGGAGCCAGCCCTTGACCTCACTGGGAACGGGGCTACATCCACCACCACTCACCCCCAGTTCTCCGTCCCAGCCCGGGGCCCGAAGGCCCCTGAGGGATTGGGAGAGGAGGCGGTGGTCACCTGGCCAGGCACGGAAGGAAGGGATGCTGGACACTGATGCCATCAGCTGGCTGTGGGAGCACACTGATCATCAGGTAGCAGCTCCTGCATTGAGTGTCTGTCCCCTGGTGGTCAGTGCGCATCATAGGACTGGTCGACTGGTCATTTGGTTTTAACAGTCACTTAGGCTTTTATATATATAGATTCCAGGGTTGTTATCCAAGTAGGACTGCAAATGGGGTATTAACTGTAAAGAGTTGTTCCTGGTTAAAATGTCTGCCTATTATCTATCTATCTATCTATCTATCATCTATCTATCATCTACCTTAGTGCCTACTCTCATAGGTTGAAATTTGGGATGAATTGTCATTATAGGAACAGTGCCCTCAACAGTACACAATTCAAAGAATCAAAGGCACGTGGCTCTTTAGAAAGGCAACTGCTGTTAGCAGCAACAGCCTGGTTTTGCCAAGTAATTTCAGCAGCAAAAAGAAAAAAAAAAGAAAAAACTTGATCAATTCTCTTTGTAATGACTTTTCAGGGAATTTCTTAAATGTCCCACTGAAGAAGCTACCCTACTCTCCTTACATGAACTATAGAGCTTAAGTTTTATTTCTATCACTATCTTTCCCCACATTTTAAACAAAAGCTTAATTTTTCATTCACAGAAAAGAAACCGTGTGACGAACTGACATGAAACCAAGTGAATTGTAATGGATAAGAGCACAGAATTAACAGGAATTGGCAGACCTAGGGTCAGCTAGTTCTATCTTAGCACAGGCATTTATTTAACTTTTGTTGATTCTTTGGGGTAAAATGGCTGGTGTACCTCTAGGGAGGTAAGAAATTGGTTAAGACTTGTGAAAGTATTTTATCTATACTAATAATATACAAATATATAAATTGACCATACCTCCATGACACCCACAGCCAATCAGGAGTGAGTATGCAAATTAACCCAACAAAGATGGTGGGTCTATGGGCAGCATGCATGTGCGCAAGTGCCAAGCGGCCAGGGATGGGCAGGACACCCATCCACCCTCTGCATAGTCAGGGCAGCAGGGTGGGATGCCCACCTGTAGCTGGGGTGATGTGGTAGGCATCCCTGGGACCCCGCCCACTTTGAGCCTATAGCCAGCATGCATGTGCACAGGTGCAAAGCAGCCAGGGTCCCAGGGATTCCACTGGAGAGTCTGGTCCTGTCAGCCCCTGGACCAGAAGTGGAAACCAAGAGCATGAGGAGCACCAGGAATGCTGGGAATCATAGTTCTGGTGGCAGATGCGTTGCGGGATCTAATAGACACTAGAGCAAAGTGAGCCTGGAGCAGGTTACTGTTGAGGGTGGGGGATGGAGGGAAAGCAAAGGTGAGAGACTTAAGTAAAGTCAGAGAGTCGAGGAAAAATTAAAGGGAAGATATCCTGCAACTTCTAGGAAATCTCCACCAATGGAGCAAAGAAAAAAAAAAAAACCTCTAATATTCTGTGAGCAATAAAACCAAACTGGGTTGGGGTCTCGGACAATTCACTCATATGATTGCAAAGACAGAAACTCCCAGATTGGAGAGGGGTCCTCTGAGGGTTCCCAGATTGGAGGGTGCAGGTTGAGCTGAGGGACCCACCCCCCTCGCACAAATCTTCGTGCCCTGTGCCCCTAGTTAGCTATAAAACATAAATATCTTAATAATTATAAAATGAAATTCATGACAATAGACAGATATTAATATATCACCCTTGTGAGGAAAACGCAGTTATTTCTTAACTAAAAATTGGAAGGTCAAAGCTTCCTCCACAAGAAAGCAATTTGAGTCGCTTAACCTGCTTCACTAGTTTTTATTTTGTACCATGGTAATAAAGTTAGTTTTCATACCACTCACAGCACTTAGAACCAGGATTTTTGTCACAATTTAGGTAGCTACAGTACACAGCTCATATTGTGCACTTTTGATATTTTTACATTTTTAAAGGTACAATATATAATTTCCCTGGAAAATTGAGGAGGCATATTTACGTTCCTTTAATGCCTCTATTATAAGCAATAGAGAGGTGCTTCGTTACCCACTAAAACCTTGAAAATATGAGTGCTTCTATTTGTGTTAGACACAACAGTTAAAAATATAGTCTTGCTAGTCTAAAAAACAGGCAAAGCTATTTTACACTTTATCAATATTAAATCAGAGAAAGAACATCAATGAAGAGGGCTGGCCAGGGTCTAAAGGTCTAAAAAAATCAATTTCAGTGGGAATGCAGAGAAAGTTTCAGTAATGAACATTGCTATCAAGGAAGAGATATTACATCTGATGTATTGTAGATGAACCATCAGGTCTGTTGGGAAAGACAGGGTCACAACCTGTGTGTAACTAACATTCCTTAAGATACTCTAATTTATGTACACCAAGTAATCTCAACAAGAACTCAACTTCTCAGGAAATGTTTCCAAAACACTTGTTTCTGGAAAAGAACATCCCTATCATAAACTCATATCAACATAATGTGCATTATATTATTGACATTGTTTTAAGTATTCTAGGGGTACTAACTTACACAATCTTCACAACTCTATAGGTAAATACTGTTATTATTTATATCCATGTTACAGATGAGATATATAAGGTATATAGAGGCTGAACAAATACACAAGGTCACACAGACAGTTAAGTTGTAGAGCTACTGTAGTAATAAAAACCAGGTAATCTGGCCTTAAAACCAATAATACTAGGCTCCATGGATTTCTCGTCATCTACAAATGCAGATTTTGGGGCTTGAAATGCTAAGCCTCAAACTCTGGGACCTGGTTAAACTCATTAATGTTGTTCCATGAGGCCCTATTCATACCTTCTAGCTTTGTGTTTTGTTTTTTAATGTATCTTTTATTGATTTTAGGAAATCACTGCTTGGCTGCCTCACACACACACACACACACACACACACACACACACACCCGGGGATCAAGCCCAAAACCCGGGCATACGCCCTTTATGAGAATCGAACCCAGGACCTTTCAGTCCACACGCCAACACTCTATCCATTAAGCAAAAAACTGGCTAGGGTCGGTCATACCTTCTATTCTGATGACACGTTTCCTATTAAACTTCCATGATTTACTTTGAATATTTTGTAAATAGTCTAAGTGGGAATTTACATTATCTTAAAAAAGTGACACCAATTTGCTTGATAAGCTTAGAAACAAGGCAGAAAAAAAATGTTTCTAATGTTTATATTAAAATCAACATGTCCTGAAAATGACTCATCTCAAAAAAGAAAATACATGGAATTTATAAATATAAGAATAGTACTCCCAATATTCATGTATGATAGTGGGCCAACCTGGATGATAAACTATCAAGGTAAGGTCAGATTTTGTTCTGGTTTAGTTTGCAACATAGAAATAGATGTTAAGAGGCACTAACTATTTATCCTGTGACCTAACACTATGTCCTATTGTTAAAATCTTTAAAGAACTCACTACCATTTAAAAGCCAAAAAAGTTATGCCCAGCTCACCAACCATCTTTTGTTGTTGATTCTCAAAGAGCTCTCTTATACCAGCAATACAAAGAAAACAAAATTAAGTTTTCTTTTTAAAAATAAAGATTGAATAGCCCGGTCGGTGTGGCTTAGTGGTTGAGCATCGATTAACCCACGGAGGTTCATGGTTCGATTCCAGGTCAGGGCACATACTTGGGTTGCAGGCATGATCCCCATTAGGAAGCATGCAGTAGGCAGCCAGTCAATGATTCTCTCTCATCACTGATGTCTCTATCTCTCTCCCCCTCTCCCTTCTCTCTAAAACCAATAAAAAAACATTTTAAAAAACAACTATTGAATGGAGCTACACTGATCAACTTAATTAAGTAATGCTTTTATGTAACTCTAAGAATTAGGAATAAATTATATTAGTTATTTAAATAAATTTGTTATAATTAAGAAAAGTGAGAAAATATAGAATCACAAAATAGTTTGTCACATTATTTATTCAAAAAATAATAGATCTTGAGTACAAAATAACTTTAAAAACTCATTTGTGTTTAGTTATCAACATATGCTCATCAAGAAGGTGAGTGAAAATAGGCAACAGATACGTTAATGTATATTAAGTTTTTGGCTGCCATTTGTTTTAATATAATATATGATCAGTGATGATTCATGACAAAGCAAACTCTATCAATGTTACATGCTCTTCTAAAGATAAAGAGCTACTAATAATGTTTTATTAGATACCCAAGGAATTTTTAGGTCAGCTAGAGTAAAAAAATAGGCTGCTGCTTTTAGGGTCAATTATTGGAAACTATACTGGCAACACTTCACAATGTATTTATGTTTCATAGTCAAAATTATTACTACTTACTTTGCTCAATAAAAAGTTCTACACACAGTTGGAAATTTCAGTCTAAAATCTAAAAAAAAATTGTCTTAAATATACAGGTCTGGGTTACTTTGGCAAGAAATAGCAATAATGTTCAAATGGCATGTCTCCTAGCTTTTATGATGTTTGGCTCTCAAGAATCAACACTTGCTCATTTTCAGTATTATTATAATATGATGATTTGTTGATAAACCTAACACAACTTCTAACTTGTCATTTTTTAAGAGGACACTTATAGCACAGATATACAATATACTAAAGATTCAAGGACCTGAAATTTCATGTATCATGTGCCTATAAATAAGAAACTAAGTGCTAATCTAGTTCAAGTTATCTAAAAATGCATAAAGAAAAAATCTGCTAACATCAATATCCTTGCTAAAAAATAAATCACCACAAAACATAGAGCATTTCCTCCCTACATTATAAAGGGTCAAAAATCATAGGTAAAAATATAGAGTTTCTCCAATCAATTGAAAACAAATATACTAGGTAACAGACAAGTCCAATCTAGACAACAAATAACACAAATGAGCCAGTTACGTTTTAGGCATAAGTGACAAATGTATTTCTTTTTATTGGCATCAAAGTTTTTTTCCAATGCATTTCAGTAAATGAAGAATATTGATGTAATTTTATTTTATTCCACTGTTGGCCATAGTTTGAGCCCTACACACACCCTTCCCTTTAACCTCAAATGGAGCTCCTTTATATGTAGCCACACACTCATCATTGGTGTAAAGATCAGGCTGAATCTGCTCCCAAATCTTCTTCTTAGGATTCAGCTCCTTGTCAGGCTCTCCTGTTGGGAAAAATAAAATTATATAACTAATAAACTAATAAATTGTCCATGGGCATTTCCAGTGAATTGTCTTGACACTTCTTTCTGATCTTTAGACCTGACCAGAATTTTAGCACATACTGTTAACATTTATTTTTATGATGTAAGCCACATGTGTCAAACACAAGGCCCGCGGGCCAAATCCGTCCCGCCAGGCCTTGCAATGTGGCCCGCACCGCGCTGTCATCACTGCACTCCGCTGTCATCACTGCACTCCGCTGCGTTTCCATCACAATGACAGTTTATGACTGTTCAGTAAACCATTTGGCCCACGATTTAGGCTTTTAGATTTTGGCCCCTTCTCTGATTGAGTTCGACACCCCTAATGTAAGCAATTCATATTCTTGATTAGTAAAATGTATTTTGTCATTTCCTTATAAATATTAAAGATCTTATTTTTCACTCTTACATTTTTTTCAAGTATATAGATCAATAAATTTTTCACAAATTTTAAAATATAAGATACTCTTAAAAATTGTGAAGCAATGAGAGTATGATTTAATGTGTTATATTTTTTAATGTTGCAGATGCAGCGTATGCTTTTCTGTATGTTTCATTATACAAAATAAATGTCTAGATTGTTGCGATAGTTTTTAAAGATTTCTTATAAATACTAGAGCATGGCTTACATGTTGGGATTATCTAGCTAAATATAACTACCTTGGGTTTTACTTGCTTTGCACATTCCATTTGGTGAGATGGAGACAAAAAAAAAAGTAGCAAAGAGACAAGTACTAGCATTTTCTAAAAACCAGGAATATATGCTCTTGCATGCAATTCACACAACACTTATTCTAATATCAAATATAGAGAAACTGGGCTCAGAGAGGATAAATCATACAACTAACAAGTGAAGTAAAGATTCGACACTAAAACTTTTGTTCTGCTAGTAGAGCACTTTGCTTCCTGATATAATAAACTATGCTTTAGGAAAGAAACAACATTCTGACATTGGAATGCCCCATCCCCTCTCTTTATAGTAATTCACAGTATTAAGTTTATGTTCAATAAAAGACAAACTGTAGAATTTATCTGCCTAGGTTAAAGAAAGCCAATATACCAAGCAACTCTCCATTTAATGAATGATAAGGAAGTAGAGAACAAAGTTTAATATAACAGCATTTTATACCTAGGATATTCAATGACATTTGGAATGAAGACTCCATTCAAGAAACAATTTTTTAAAAAATATATTTTATTGATTTTGTACAGAGAGGAAGGGAGAGAGACAGAGAGTCAGAAACATCGATGAGAGAGAATCGATCAGCTGCCTCTTGCACACCCCCTACTGGGGGTATGCCGGCACCCAAGGTACATGCCCTTGACCGGAATTGAACCCGGGACCCTTCAGTCCCCAAGCCGACGCTCTATCCATTGAGCCAAACCAGTCCTGGCTCAAGAAACAATTTTTAAAAAGTAACGTATCTCTTAAGCATTTGCTTCAAATGAAAAAGGATTTTCCTGGAGGTAATAAAAAAATATTACTGAAGTATAATTCAGTAATCATAGAAATATAACTTACTAGATATATTTTTTTAACTGATTCCCAAGTTGAAATCTCTTGGAATTACTTTAAAAAGAATATTTTAAACATTACTGGAACTAATTTTATTTTATATCTTTATTACATCTTATTATCTACTGTTTATTCTCTACTCATATAGGAATAACAAAACAGAAAATTGGTTGGCCATGGTAGCTTTGTTCTTTTATTAGCTCTTCATAAACTGCCATGAAACTGGCAAGAACATACAAAAATGTCCTCTGATATGCAGATTTTCAAAGATAACAGAGATTTAACTGCATGATGTATTCACAGTAAAAGAACATGCAATGAAACTAAAACTGAAAGACCTACTATAAAAGTGAGGATTTCTTTTAGACCTTAAGACCACTAGATGGACATTAATTATTATTAATTAATAAATAGAATAGGAAAAAATAAGAATATATTAAGTATCTATAAGATTTTTGTTTTGTTTTTTTTTGTTTTTAAGTCATCCCTAGTCTAAGAGCAAAATCTTACTTTGCTTGTGCACAAATCATGTGGAGAAGTGAGCATTCCAGAATTCTGAAAAGCTGGAGGTAGAAATGCTGTTCAGGGAGGCCTGAGTACTAACCCCAAATCCCCCTCACCCCACAAAAAAGAGATGCTCGCTAACTGATGTTGAATAAGTTTAAGCAGAGTGTCCCAGACTTGTATAAAAGTATCTTATGAAGAGCAGATTGTGTAGTAAATTCTTGCTGAATGTAGATGTAAGCCCCAAGTACAAAAAGCTGTGGTGCAGCAGAAAATTAAGCTTCTTGAAATGTATAGACAATAATATTCATAATAATACATAATACATATCATGCTTACTATGTGACCATCACTGGACTGTTTTACATTTATTTAGTTATTTAATTATCTCAATAAAGCATATAAAATGATTAATTACAATCAATTTATAGGTGAGGAAATTAAGGCCCAAAGTTACAACTAAGAACTTAAAAAAAAAAAAAAAAAGGGCAGCTAGCTAAGTGTTTCAAAAGTTAAACCTCACAAAACACATGAAATAGATACCATTAAAAACCATTTCTTGCCCTAATGGGTTTGGCTCAATGGATAAAGCCTGGGGCTGCAAACTGAAGGGTCCCAGGTTCAATTTCGGTCAAGGACACATCTCCAGTGGAGGGGTGTGCAGGGGCAGCTGATCAATGTTTCTCTTTCATTAATATTTCTAATTCTCTAACCTTCTCCATTCATCTCTATAAAAAATCAATATCACTTTTTAAAAACAAAACAAAAACCACTTTCTTATAAATGAAAAGGCTGGGACTTGGAAAGGTTCCCAGGTGTGGAGCCAAGATCTGAAAGGTTTAAACTTCTTATATAAGACTAATAATTTTCAAGTAATAAAGATTTGAACTAAAAATAAACTCGGAACTAATAAGAGGAACCTCCAAAGATTAACTGTTGTCTTTTAACAAACAAGACTCAATACTTGAACACTCTGAATGTAGTTTTTAGATTTTAATAAATCAATAAATGAAACAAAAATTTGAGATTATTAAAACCTGTCACAGTACGATCACTGAATATAAATCAGAGTACAAAATCTTGGATGCAGTGTTAACCTTCTGGCTTATTAAGTATCTTTTTGAACAAAACACTATTTGGTAGGGTATAAAGCTAGCTGGAAAGTTTAAATCTCTTCCTATGGAAAACATTTCTAATATTTTAAACAAATTTTTAATGAACTATCTTTTCCAGAGAAGTCTTTCATCGTTCCTGTGTGTTATATCCTTCTAAATCTTATTTTTCTAATTTTCTTTCCTTTCTTACCCTTCCCCCTGTTTTTTGGCACGGCTACGTGAAGAAGGTAAGTGATGATATCAATAAAAATTCTTCAAGCTAAAAACTACAGAACCTCTGAAATTGCTAAACACATGCCAATAATCACCATTTGGAAATGGTTACATATATTGTAAGAGAACTAATCATTCAGAGATTATTTTAGGCCAATTAATTTTAAACAAAATGCACAGGGAATAGGAACTATTTCACGATGAGTTTGTAAGATGCAAAAAGCTGTGATCACCTTCTCAGCATTTAAATCCTACAAAAAGCAATAAATACAAATTCCAGAGTCCCAGGCTTTCACAAATCTATTGTAGAATAAGAACCAGAGATTTCATTTTAATTGGGCCATTCTTTTGTATAAAATGCTCCTGGATCACCAGCTTCTCTTTGATATCTACGATGGCCATTAAAAGCCTAGTACTAACTTACTTAACTTATGTTTGATAAACTGCGTTTTGGAACTATAATAATTGTAACTATTGCACAAAAACTAAAGTATAACTTGGCAAGTAGGGGTCAATTAATTTGACAAAGCTAATCAACAGGGGAAAGTGGTTTGGTGGTTTGATCAGAATGATCTTACAATAATGAAGGCAAATATTCAGGCCTGTTCTTAAATACTGCTTTGTTGTTGTTTTTAACATGTTTTACTACTACATTTCTTTTTTTTCTTTAACCAATTTACTGAGCTCCTAATCTACGCCAGGCATTTTTCTAGATCAGTGGTTGGCAAACTCATTAGTCAACAGAGCCAAATATCAACATTAGTCAACAGAGCCAGTAGAATGACTGAAATTTCTTTTGAGAATCAAATTTTTTAAACTTAAACTTCTTCTAATGCCACTTCTTCGAAATAGACTCGCTCAGGCCGTGGTATTTTGTAGAAGAGCCACACACAAGGGGCCAAAGAGCCGCATGTGGTTTGTGAGCCGTGGTTTTCTGACCACTGCTCTAGATGATAGGAATATAGCAGAGAATAAGAACAAAAAGAAAAAATCTTGATTTCATGATGCTTATATATCTGTGTGAACAGGCATTAAACAATGTACAGTATACTAGATGATAAGTATTTTGGAGAAAAATAAAGATGACATTTGAAGATCTGGACAGAATGAGGGACCAAGCAATGGAGACATCTCAGGAAAGAGTTAGCGGCTCAATTAAAGTGAGGAAGAAACTGGAGACTCCGTGCAGTTAATGAAAGGCAACCATAAGGACTTAGCTTGCACTCTGGTCAAATGGGAAGCTTTTAAGCAAAGAAGCAAATATAATCTGACCTAAATCACTCCACCTACTATAACTGAAAACAGACAAAGTGCATGGGCAAAAGCAGGGAAATCAGTCAGAGGCTTTTGCAATGATTTAGATAAAGGATGTTGGTGCTAAGACCAAAGTGGTGGTGGTGGAGATAATGAGAACAATTCTGGGTATGTTCAGTATACCCAGTATTATTTTCTGAAGGAGAAGCTGCATGAAAAAATAAATAGCAGTTGAGAGAATGGAGTTCTGGTCAGATGATATGGAAAATGGGAATTCTGGGGGGAAGACTGGGATATGTATTCTCTCTTCAGACAGTGCAGAAGGCAGCTAGCTAGAAACGTGACAGAATAAAATAGCCAAGGAAATAATGTGGAGGGGGGGAGGTGGAGAGAAAGAGAGAGAGAGAGAGAGAGAGAGAGAGAGAGAGAGAGAGAGAGAAAGAGAGACAGACAGACAGACAGACAGACAAGTGTGGGGAAAAAAAGAGAAATAAAGGACCAAGATCTGGGCACTTCAATGTTATGAAGTTATGCAGCTGAGGAGGAATCAGCAAAGGAGATGAGAAGGCAGCCAGTGAAGCAGGAGACCACCAGGAAAGTGAAGCCAGATGTCAAGTAAATCAAGAAAAGGACTGACTGAGAACTAGCCATGGATAGTTAGCTAGAGAGTAATTAGTGATCTTGATCAGAGCAGTTCTGATAGAACAAGGAGGAGAGAAACTGACTGAAATAGGTTTTAGAGAGAAGAATAAAATATAAACAAGATTTTTGTCTTTTTAAAGAATAAATGGATACAAAAGTGAAACATTTGCATACCATACAGGCTTTATAATTAACTGTAACTTATATTTATAATTAAGATTCAATATCAAGAGAAATAAACATAGTCTTGGAAGTTAAAAGTTTGAACGCAAATTTTCATTTAGTTTTAGAGCAAAATCAGTGCATTTTTCAGAAAAAAAAAGAGAAAAGGTTGTCATTGCCTTTATCTTCTATCTATAACATTATTTTCAAGTTAATTCTGCTTGGTGCTTTAGGGACCAGTTACCACTTTTAAATATTAAAATTTATAGCTTGACACATTTACGATTAAAATAAGTATTGTGCGGGGTAGTTTTTTAGTCATTGTTAAAAATATATATATTACTTGGCATCTTCTAAACTCAATGGACATTTTCAGTTCTACAGTTAGAGAAAAAAAGTTGCTAAGTATAAAAGCTTTTCCAAGGCTGAATAGTAATTCAAAGGTTTGAGCCCCAATTGCAATTTCTATACCACACTTAAGTGTCATGAAATGTAAATCTTTAGACACTGAGCACATCAAGTGAACATGTACCAGCAGACACCTTAAGCTTTAAAATGCAAAACAGATGCTGGGAAGGGGGGAAGCACTGGTAAATCATGGCTCTTTCTGAAAAGAAAAAAATAAGACTAATGGTGTGTTGTGTAGTATTAGCTGTTATTTCCTTTCAGATTAACTGCTACAGAAGCAGTAACTGATGTGGAACCATAGCAAGATGAACAATAACAGACCTCATGTCCCAAAATTTATCAATTATTCAATGCTGTTTGGCTCGGTTCAGCCTATTGTAAGTGATAAGAATTCAAGCAACCTCATGGGCCATTTTAAAATTAGTTTTTCCCACCCAGCTGGTGTAGCTCAGTGGTTGAACATCAGACTGTGAATTATGAAGTCACAGTTCAATTCCCTGTCAGGCCTCAGTTCCCATTAGAGGGCTTGCAGGAGGCAGCTGATCAATGATTCTCTCTCATCATTGATGTTTCTATCTCTCCCTTCCTTTCTGAAATAGACAAAAACATATTTAAAAAAATAAAGTTAGGTTTTCCCTTCTTTCACTTTACAAATATTTTTCCCTTCTTTCATTTTACAAATATATCTTAACATATTCATGAGCTAAGGCACAAGGGGAAACTATGAATTTAAAAGAAATACCAGGCTTTGGAACAATGTAAATATAGACACACACACACACACACACACACAAAAAAAAACACCTCAGAGAGTGAAGAATGTAGCAAAGGAAAGAAATCCATTTGGGCTATTATAGTCTCTAATGCTACCACTGAGTAAAACTTACTTTCAATTTAGTCATCAGAAACATCCAAATAATAATGGACTCAACTGCTAAAATATTTCCCTGTTAATTCTATGAAGTAAGGGAATGAAATGTGTCATTGAAATAGGAGCTATATATCCTCATTAATGAAATATTCCAGAATAATTTTCAGTAAGCAAAAATCAACAAACAAAAATGCTATAGTATTAGTGATTCAGACACATCTGTTTAATGCTTTTACTAATTCTGCATATCTTTAAGCAATTAAATTATACCAGGCCCCAGTTTCCAAGTATGTAAAACAGTGAGTTAAAGATTTGATTTATCCCATTTCTAAATACAAGCCTCTACAATTTACATTAAAAAAAAAGAAAATTCAAAAATTGTACATCTTAAGTATTTAAATAAAAGGAAAGGCAAATGGTAATCTGGTAAACCAATTTTTGTTGTTTTTTTCCAATATGTGTTGAATCCTAAAGGAAAAGATCTCTTTATTACTGTTCTATTCCAATTTAGTGAATTAAACCTCTAACCAGAATTTTAGGTGTCAGGTACAGACTTACTCCAAAATATGATGTTTGGGGAAATGTTTTGATATTGTTTCTGGGAAAAGAGTGATGATGATATGTTGCTAGAATTTAAAGCCACCATGCTGCTTTGAGAAATGATTCAGATTGGGATTTTCCCAAAACCAATTTACCAAAAAAAGCACAGACCATTATGGTTTTGAATCTACCAACCTTCAAGATAAAGAGAGGCATTCAAAATTATGGTACTTGTTAAACAATCCCTTTAGATTAGTCTACTTTTGATTAGGAAGGGGTAGTTTAGTTTCAAGGAAACTATAATTTCATCCGCATTGTCTATCCTATTCTAATGTTAAAATTCTTCATATTCTAATATTTCATCAAACACAAATGACATAGGATAAAAAACAGGCCTACATAATCACATCAGTCTGGCTATTAAATGAAAACTCAGCATTTTCTACAAATATGTCTCCAAATCAATTCTGACTTATAAACCTAATTGTCTTTTTTAAAGTTGATATATGTTTATTATATAGTATCTGAGTTAAACTAGAAGTCAAGACTATAATAGTAATATGTGACAGTGATCATATTTTTAATTAAAAAGCATTCTTGTAAATCAACAGCAAAAAAGATGTACATCTCAATATTAATATGGAAAATGATATGGTTGCTAAAATATTTAATAGTTAAAAAGGTGTTGAGATCATATTAGTAATCAGAGTGGTATGTTAAATGAGATATTATCATTCACCTGTAAAATTACTAAGTATAAAAAACTTTGGTAGTAATCTGGTTTGGTATGAATGTGGTGATTTTTTTTTTTTAATTGGGATGACATTGGTTAATAAAATCATATAAAGTTCAGGTGTACAATTCCATAATATATCATCTGTATAATATTTTGTGTCCACCACCCCAAGTAAAGTCTCCTTCCATCACCATTTATCTCTCCATATACCCTCTTCTACCCTCCCACCTCCCTTTTCCTCTGATAATTATTATACTATTGTTTTTGCCTAAGAGTTTTCGGGTGTTTCTTTTTTTCTGAATCCCTTCACCATTTTCCCCCCGCCCTGCAAACCCCCTCCCCTCTGAAGGCTGTCAGTCTGTTCTCTATGAATCTACTTCTATTTTGTTTGTTATTTTATTTTGTGCATTAGAGTCCTCATCTGAGTAAAATTATAACCTAATTCTACTTGTTACCCTAATTTATTTCTCCTCCCATTATTCTAGTTAAATGAATATCCTTTAAGTAAATTCAATCTTTTAATTTCTGTTTATCCTCTTTATAAGGTCCTCCTTCTTTAATGAAAGAAAACTTTATTCTACACCTACAAGCATTTTTTCTCTTCTGCTTCAAAGACCTGTTTGAAAAAAACTTTTTCATGCATTACAAAGCTTCATCAGTCTCAGGAGCATTTGACTGGAGAAAGCAAGCAATATAAATGAAACTTCCTTTCAGATTATTAAAATAGATATGTCCTGGTCGGTGTGGCTTAGTGGTTGAGCATCAACCTATGAACGAGGCGGTCAAAGTTCAATTCCCAGTCAGAGCACATGCCTGGGTTGCAGGCTCAATCCCCAATGGGAGATGTGTGGGAGGCAACCAATCAATGCTTCTCTTTCATCATTGATGTTTCTATCCCTCTCTCCCCTTCTCCCTTCTTCTCTGAAATCAATAAAAGTATACTTAAAAATAAAACAAAATATGAAGTTTAACTTATAGATTTTCTCTATATCCTAAAGTAAAAGCATATATAAATATATTAGATGAACTTTGAGAATTATATGCATTTCCCCCATGTCAGCTTTTCATCTCTTCGCATTTATGTGTTGCATTCTGAAATAATCTACAGCTTAAATAATTTTGTAGCACATTTTCTTGTTTTATGTCCACATCACATTTTTCTGCTATGTAGGGATTATATTTAGTATTTTACCTAAAGCAAAAACTCTCTGGTGTATTATGTAATGTGTATATTAATGCATTAATGGGGTGGGAGATAGATGTTTGTACTTAATATGTCATCTTGAGCCAGTAGCAATAATCTCAGTAATAATAATCTTTTAATGTAAAGCATAGTAAATCATACTCAGGATTTAATTTTAACCGTAAACATTATAAGCAACACTTTGTGAACATTAATTCCCAAATGATTTTCAATAATGGCTAATAGATACTTACCAGGAAAAGCATCAAAAGTAATTCTGTCTCCAGGAACAGACCCGATAGGAGGTGCCAAGATTTCAACTTTCTCTGGTGAACTAGCACACATTACCATTGCTTGAGATAGTATTCCCCTCATCTTTGCAGGTTTTAGGTTACAAAGTAAAATCACCATCCGATTTTGCATCTGTATGAAAAACAAATAGATAATTAAGATGTATAGAATTTGGAGTGATTATACCTAGAATACATTAAGGTACACTCTATTAGAATACATAAAGGAAGAAGTAAAACCATCACCATATGTAAATGACATAATACTATATAAATAGAAAACCCTAAAGACTCCAAAGAAAAAATTTAAAACTAATAAATTCACTAAAATTGAAGGACACAAATATTTGATGCTGGAAAAACTGGATAGATAAGTAAAGAAGAGAATCTGGGCAACTTCTTATAAAAAATTCAAAATGGATTAAAGGCTAAAATGTTAATTCCTGAAACCATATAACTCCTTGAAACATAGGCAATGAACACTTTGATCTCAATCTTAACAATATTTTGTTGGATATGTCTCTGTAGGTTAGGGCAATAAAAGCAAAAATAAACAAATAGGACTACATCAACCTAAAAATTATTTGCATAGCAAAGGAAACCATCAAGAAATGAAAATACAACTTAACAAATGGGAGAAGATATTTGCAATGACATTACATCTGATAAAGTTATAAAGAGTGTACTAAGTATACATACAACTCAACATAATACAGCACACCAATTCAATTAAAAAATGGGTAGATGACCGAACAGAATTTTTTTCAAAATAGGCAAACATACAGTGAACAATAGACATATGAAAAGATGCTTAACATCACTAATCATCAGGGAAATAAAAAATAACTTGACATAACCACCTCACACTTGTCAGAATGGCTGTTATCAAAAGGTCAACAAATAATAAGTGTGGGTGAGAATGTAGAGAAATGGGAACCATTATGCACTGTTAGTTGGAATGTAAAATGGTGCAGCCACTATGGAAAACAGTATGAAAGTTCCCCAAAAAATTAAAGAAGCCCATATCAAGACCCATCATAATTACAATGCCAAGGGCTAAAGACAAAGAGAGAATCTTAAAATCAGCCAACGAAAAGCAGTTAGTTACCTACAAGGGAATGCCCATTCGACTATAACCTGACTTCTCTAGAGAAACTTTGCTGGCCAGACGGGAGTGGCAAGAAATATTCCAAGTGATGAATAACAAGGACCTTCAACCAAGATTACTATATCCAGCAAAGCTATCTTTTAGAATTGAAGGTCAAATAAAGAGCTTCCCAGACAAAGTAAACGCTAAAGGAGTTCACCACCAAATCAATACTTAATGAAATGTTGAAAGATATTCTTAAAAGGAAGAAGAGATAAAAAATATGAACAATAAAATGACAATAAATACATATCTATTAACAGTTGTATCTAAAACTCAAAATAAATGAACAAAGATTCCAATGAACAAAATAAAGTGATGAATAAAATATAACCAGAGGCATGGAAACATGAAACTGAATGAGGAGTCTCAGAGGGAAGGGGGAAGTTGAGAAGAGGTTAGCCAAAGCTCTTTTATGCATATATGCATTACCTATGGTCACAGACAATAGAGTGGTGAAGGCCTGGGGCAGGGCAAGAACCAGGAAGAGGGGGCAATGAGTGGAAAAAAGGAGGACATTGGCAACACTTTCAACAATAAAGAATTTTTAAAAATAGACCAAAGTTTCAAATTCCAAAGCCCCCCACCCCCCCCTTTGGAGGTCTTCATGAATAAGACTCATTTTCAACAAATAACTTGAAATGCCACATATTAAAAAATGTTATATACAATTATATATAAGAAAAACAACAGAGTTAACCTTTTAAAAAACAGATGACATTTGTGGACTTTTACATTTAAAAAATATACCAAACTACAAAATTTTGTATGCAATTTAGGGGGGCTGGGTTTAAATGTTCGTTTTATAAATGTTTAGTAGTGCTGCCTTCATGAGTTAGATAGAGATGTGTATAAAGAGATTTGCTAATGGCTGTGAATGACAGCTTTTGGAATAGAAACAGTCTGCAACTTGTGAGAACAAAAAAGATAAAGCCCCAGTGAGAAGTAATTTCCAATTTATCTGGCTTATGACCATTTGGTTCTTTTCTCCAACATACATTCCTAAGTAGTTATAAAGGGGTCGTCATCCTATACAAGATCAATATAAAGAGAAAAAGACCATACATACATGTGTCAAATCCAAACATTTAGAGAATTACCTTCACTCATCCCTCATTAGAGCAGCTAGGTCCTATTAATATGAGGCAGAACATGTTACCCCTTAGCTCAAAAAACCTCTAATGGTTTTCATTGCAGAATAAAAGCCAAAGTCTTTACAATGAACTATAAGACCCGATGTTATTTGGCAAACTTACCTCTGATTTCATCTCGCATGGTACTCCCCCTTATTCATTTTGCCGAAGTGAGTATCACAGGCATGCATTTACCGTATTTTTCGGACCATAAGACGCACTTTTTTCCCCCCAGAAGTGGGGGGAAAAAGTCCCTGCGTCTTATGGTCCAAATATAGCCTACACATATACTTTAAAAAAAAAGTTTTTTTACTTGCCTGGCTCTGTGTGGTCTCTGTGTGCTTGCCCGGCTCTAAAATGGTTCTAAATGCTGCTGTTTACTTTACAGGGTTGATTACATGTGTTTATGACTGCGATGTTGGGTTTTAATGCACATAAAATATTTAAGGACACTATTTGTTTCAGAATCTTTTTTTCTTCATTTCCCTTCTCTAAAAACTGGTGCGTCTTATGGTCCGGAGCGTCTTATGGTCCGAAAAATACGGTAATTCAGCAATCTAAAATGCTCCACCACCACATGGACACATGACTTATTTTCTCAGACCTTTTACTTAAATATCACTTCTTTATAAGGCCCTTCTGAGTTACTTTATATAAAATGACATCATTATCCTAGCCTCAATAAACTAGATTCTTCCTTATTTCATTTTTTTTTGATATTTATTATAATTTAACACTAGAGGCCTTGTGCAGGGGTCCCTTGGTCTGGCCTGCGGGATCAAGCTAAAACTGGCTCTCTGACACCCCCCGAGGGGGTCCCGGGTTGTTAGGGCGCTGACCAGGCCGAGGGACCCCATTGAAGCCGGTAAGAGACACTGGAGATTGGCTAGCAGGGCGGGACTAAAGGAGGGTTCCAGGGCGTGTCCAGCCCATTTCACTCAGTCTCGATTAGCCAGACCTCAGCAGCAAGCTAATCTATCAATTGGAGCTTCTGCCCCTGGTGGTCAGAGCACATCATAGCAACCAGTCAACTGGTTGACTGTCTGCCCCCTGGTGGTCAGTGCATGTCATAGCGACAAGATTACTGCCCCCTGGTTGTCAGTGTACATTAGGGGTGTCGAACTCAATCAGAGAAGGGGCCAAAATCTAAAATCCAGCCTAAATCGCGGGCCGAATGGTTTACTGAACAGTCATAAACTGTCATTGTGATGGAAACGCAGCGGAGTGCAGTGATGACAGCGCGGTGCGGGCCACATTGCAAGGCCTGGCGGGACAGATTTGGCCCGCGGGCCTTGTGTTTGACACGTGGTGTACATCATAGTGTGTGGCTGAGCGGGCTTAGCATATCATTAGCATAATACGCTTTGATTGGTTGAACAGACAACTGGACAACCAGGCACTTAGCATATTAGGCTTTCATTATCTATCCCAGTGGTCGGCAAACTCATTAGTCAACAGAGCCAAATATCAACAGTACAATGATTGAAATTTCTTTGGAGAGCTAAATTTTTAAAACTTAAACTTCTTCTAACACCACTTCAAAATAGACTTGCCCAGGCCGTGGTATTTTGTGGAAGAATCACGTTCAAGGAGCCAAAGAGCCACATGTGGTTCGTGAGGCTCAGTTTGCTGACCACTGATCTATCCTATATAATAGAGGTAATATGCAAATTGACCATCACCCCAATACACAAGATGGCCGCCTCCATGTGGACACAAGATGGCTGCCACAAGATGGTCAGCAGGGGAGGGAAGTTGGGGGAACCAAGCCTGAAGGGGAAGATAGTTGAGGGGGACTAGGCCTGCAGGGGAGGGCAATTAGGGGCGACCAGGCTGGCAAGGGAGGGCAGTTAGGGGTGATCAGGCCTGTAGAGGAGGATAGTTAGGGGCAATCAGGTTAGGGGGTGATCAGCTGGCAGGCAGAAGTGGTTAGAGGTAATCAGGAAGGCATGTAGTCAAGTGGTTGGGAGCCAGCAGTCCCAGATTGTGAGAAAGATTGGCAGTTGGACATCTCCCAAGGGGTCCAAAATTGAAGAGATTGCAAGCTGGGCTGAGGGACCCCACCCATCTCCAGTGAATGAATTTCGTGCACTGGGCCTCTAGTGTGTGTGTGTTGTGTGTGTGTGTGTATATAAAAGCCTAAGTGACCATTATGACCAGTCACTATGATGTGCACTGACTATCAGGGGGCAGACACTCAACACAGGAGCTGTCCCCTGGTGGTCAGTGTGCTCCCACAACCAACCTCCCACGGTCTCTCCCTGCCACCAGCACGCCCTGATCCAGACTGGGTGAGATGGCCCCAATGGTCCCGACTGCTAGCCACGCCAAGGGACCCCACCTGTGCATAAATTTGTGTACCGGGCCTCTAATATAGGATATTATTGTATTATGATTTTCTGATGTCCCCATAGGAATGTGAACCTCACAAAAGGACTTAAAAAGCGAACACAAACAAATCTAGCATCTTAATTTCATCTTGATATAACTGCTTTGTCCCTTTTCTAGCATATAGTTTCTGGTACCCTGCAGGAGCTCAATAAATATTTGTAACTAGAAAGATGAATTAATAAATGTAAAGATTTATCCAAGCTCACAAATCCAATAATCAACAGAGCTGGCAATGAACAGAGAGGCAGAACTATCTCCATGTTGAAGTCTATGGTCTTTGCAATATACCTGAAGTACCATGTTAAGAGGAAATAGATAGATCATTAAAATTACCCATAAGATATCTTGAAAGAGCAAATTAAAAACTATTACTGTCTTTAATTCATGCCACTGTCATGGGAAATACACATATATATGTATCTCCACACATATACATATGCTGTATACATATGAGTGTATAAAAGTCTTTTATGCTTTTAAATACCTAAATGATATAAGTCATCCAACTTTTAACAACTAAAGGATTAACATTAAAATTTGCAGTTCAATCTCCATGTTTTCCTCACCTGTTTTCTCTTCTTTATTTAGATATATATTTTATTGATTCTTTACAGAGAAAGGGAGAGGGATAGAAAGTTAGAAACATCAATGAGAGAGAAATATCAATCAGCTGCCTCCTGCACACCTCCTACTAGGGATGTGCCCACAACCAAGGTACATGCCCTCGACTGGATTCGAACTTGGGACCTTTCAGTCCATAGGCCGATGCTCTATCCACTGAGCCAAACTGGTTAGGGCTCTCATGTTTTCTCTTAGTATGAAAATATTTCTTTAGTTACAAAGAAATAAAACCTGTTCTTTTCCTTTTATTTATATATTTTAAAAATATTTTGATTGATTTTGAGACAGAGAAAGAGGAAGGGGATGTGAGGGGGGTGGAGAGAGCAAGAGAGAGAAACATTAATTTATTGTTCCATTTATTCCTGCATTAATTGAATAAATAAATTATTGTATGTGCCCTGACCAAAGATTGAACCTCCAACCTTGGTGTATCAGGATGATGCTCCAACCAACTGAGCTACTCAGCCAGGGCTATTCTACTTTTATTTTATTTATTTTAATATATTTTTTATTTTATTTTATTGATTATGGTCTCACATAATTGTCCTTATCCCCCCATTCCCATCCCAAACCCCTCCCTACATATGCCCCCACCCCCCTGTTGTCCATGGCCACTGGCTAGGCCCATATGTATGCACACAAGTCCTTTGGTTGATCTCTTTCCCTTACCTCCACCCTCCCTTACTTTCCCTCTGAGGTTTGAGAGTCTGATCGCTGCTTCTCTTTCTCTATTCTACTTTTAGATTGGTGTTTCCTATGTTTATATAATAGTGATTTTAAAAAATCAAGGAATAATAAAATTCCATGAGAAACAATGATGATACACATACATAAACACAGTATTTTACACACACCAAACTAAAAAAATTGTTTGAGAAAATTATATCTTCTTTTCGTCCTTATGAATCCAATCCTAATGAATAGATCTTTTGCAAGAGTTTAGTAGTTTTCTGTACTTGTTTGTGTAATTCATCACATTCAAACTAATCAATTCAACTAATTAATACTGGCTCCTGTTGTTGGTCATCTAATACAAAATTATATGGAAAAACATCTAAAGAGAGACGAAATGAAAATATCATATGTATGCAGAAGTTAGTTGTACAAATCACCTGGTCAAGAGGAACATGGTTCACCAGGCCACTGACAACTGTTCTTGGGACGGCTTCTCCAACATCTACTTCTTCTACATACAAAGAATCTGCATCAGGATGTTTTTTAGCAGTGACGATACAACCAATCCGAAGATCCAGACGGGAAACATCTATTGGTTTAGAGTCAGCACTTCCTGCTGATTGTTGTTTCTTTTCCTTTTTCTCTCCTAAAAAATATTTATAAATGGGTAAACATCAGAAGTAAAACAAAAATAAACTAGAAAACACTTCATAACATTGAGACAGATGAACTTGAAAGAAAAAAGTGTTTATATCCTACCTTCACTTAAATAAAGGAAATAATTATTTATCCAAGTCATAGCATCTTGAGCCCTATTTTAGCTATTTTTCTGTTGAATAACTGCTTTTATCTCTAGTGAAAGAAAGACAAACAGTTGGTAACTATGGGTTATGGGCCAAATCCAGCATGATGTTTCTGTCAAAGTTGTATTAGAACACAACCATGTTTGTTCATATATATTTCGACTATGGATGGATTTACACTATGGCAGAGGTGCTTAGTTGTCACAGAGCCTGTAAAGCTCAAATATTTACTAAATGGTCCTTTGCAGAAAGTTTGCATTTCCCTGAAACAGAGCTGTTGAAAATCCTTTACAATTTTTATTGTGAGTCTTTAGAAAGTGAAACATACTATATTTAGAAAGAATGCCATACTCTGTAGCCACCTAATGGAATGAACTACAAATGTAATTTCCCTGATAAAATGTCTCTCTCGTCAATTAAACATACTGCTAAGTATAAGTAGATAGGGGCTGAACATCCTCTCCTACATCATTTTATCACTAGGTGGTATGGTTATAATGAAAGCAATTCAAACTAATTCTCCCACTTTATAAATTTTATTAAGAAGTAGGCATAAAATAATAATAGAGCGTGTTCTAAAACTTGAACACCCCACGCCTTAGTTCAGACATTATACTTGGACTGGAATATCCTTTTTCTATCTTCACAACTTTACAACTGTGACTTTTCTGATTAACCCCTACACACACACACACACACACACACACAAAATTACAATAAAATTCAGTCATACCAGATTATGTATGGGCTTTTATACTTAATATCTACATTCTATGTTTTTAGTTATGCTAGTCCCTATACCTCAAATGCCATACTCTTATCCTGTCGACCTGATCAACCTTCCACATTGATGGTCCAGCTTCTGTGTTCCAATATCATACTGTTTCTAACTTTATTCTAGTTCATGAAAAGTTTGAACTTTCTTTCTGACATCATTATTATTACAAAATATGTTGAGATCCGATAAACCAGTCAAGAGCCAAATAACCTTAAAGTAAAATACCTTTCTTTTCAAGTTTCTCTTTCACCTTCTTTTCTTCTCCTTCTCCTCCTTTTACTTGTCCTTTGGCACCAGAAGATATGGGTGTGATTGGTATAAATTGGATTACACTTTCAGAAACCGTGGAATTAGCTTGCGGTGGAGTACCAGATGGAAATGGTATTTGTTTCACTAATATAGAAAATAAAATAGGTAATGCCATTTACATTAAACCAATAAACAAGATACAAACTATGAAATTGTGAATCACAAATATGAATTGTTTTAAAAAGAGAAATTCACTGGATATGATTATTAGGTCTTTATTTATCCGAGATATAAAAAGGTTGCCAAAAAATTAACTAAATTTTAAACATAATAAAAGAATACAGTAGCTGTGTTTCTCATTTAGTCACTAATGCTTTTTAAAGAATATTTCTAAAAAAAAAAAAAATTTTCTTCAGCAATATTAAAAACTTTTATTATATTGATAATATTTGAATTCTTAATATATTGATATTATTTTACTATATTCCAAATCTCTTAGTCATGGAAACCATTAACCCATTAACTAGCTTCAAATTTTCACTAACAAATGAAATTCTCTCTAGAATCTAGAGTATAGATCAGTGGTTGGCATACTGCAGCTCGCGAGCCACATGCTGTTTTTTGGCCCCTTGAGTGTGGCTCTTCCACAAAATACCACGTGCATGGAAACTTCGTGGCCCATGCGCAGAAGTTGGTTTTTGGCTCTCAAAGAAATTTCGATCGTTGATATTTGTCTCTGCTGACTAATGAGTTTGCCGACCACTGGTCTAGATGAGTTTTAAGCATACATTATTAGTTTTTACTTACTTTTATTCAGCTAACTGAGGGTAGAGGAGTTCAAACTACAGTATTCAAAGTAATTCACTTACAGAATAATGGTCAAAAGAATGTAGTAAGTATACTTGAAACTCCTTAACTCACCTAGGAAGAATTTTCTATCATATAGCCAAATGGCTTTGTGTATGATCCTTTGAAATTGTAATAGGACTATTATTATTAGTGTTTCATAATAATGTAAGTTCATCTAGACTCCTTTAAAATAATTCAATAAAATGTTTAATTTTATTTACAACATAATAGTTGAAATAATTATCTACCGACTAATAAATGAAAAACTGTACAAGTTCATACAACTTACTTTATACTTCTAAGTTTCAATTTCCTCATCTAAACAAGGATATTTGTATACACTAAATTTTAAGGATAAAATACATAATGTATGCGAAACAACTGCCGACACAGTGCCTAGAATATATTAAAACAATAAATATTAACTAAATGTTATTATGACTTATTTTCAATAATTATTCAATAGGGAACAGTGATGAGCAAGTTGAAGCATAGCATAGAAGTTAAAAGCATAGTTTTTGAACCCCAGCTTTGCTATATTTTGCATAATCTCAGGCCAGGTCATGTGCCTTTTCTTTATCTCCATTTTTCCTTCTGTAAAGGAGGACAAATATGCAAGAAGGGACGCTATGAGGGTAAAATAAAATTTTTAAAAAAGCATAATACCTAAATTAATAAACAATAAAAGAAATAATAATTACTATTGTAACTAAAACTGTCATTTCAATAATCACCTCCATTTTTAATTTCTGCTTGAATTAGCTCTTGCTTCAACTCTTCAATTTCTTTCTTCAATTTAGCATTTTCAACTCTAAGTTTCTTCTCTTCTCTCAAAGTTGATTGCAAAACTAAGATCAAGAAAATCTAGTTAAGTACAGTATAGCAGTGTTTTCTAAATGGTTCCTTATGAATACTACTTGAGAGTAGAGCCAGTATACACATAGGCAGGATAATTCTAATAAGCTAATGCTTTTTGGCCAGTTTCCTTGTATCAGAGTTTTGTATTACTAATTAAAACAACATGGTATTTAAAAAAGAGAAAAGAAAGATAATCTTCGAAATAATACAACAGAAAAGGCTTTATGAATCATTTTTCTAGCTTCTGTAAAGATGCTTATGAAAATTTAACAATCTTGCTCAAAGTGTCAGTAACAGATAAGACTGTTAAGAGAGATAAATATTCGGCATATTAATTATTTATTTTTTAAAAGTCTGAGATCTAATTACCAAACAAGAAAAAAACTATTCTCATTTTTTTTGGTCAGTACCTTGTAAAAGTAATAACCCTTTATACTTAATGCCTCCGAAGCTTAAACTGAGCAAACATTTAATGAGTGAAGTAGCTACAAAAATTTGCTCAAAATATAATAGATGCTTGTTAAAGGTGAGCAACTGGATATACAAAAGTATCAAAGAAAAAGCAATGCTTCTCAGTGGGGTTGGTAGTGCTCTCTAGGGGGAATTTTAAGTCTGAGGGATTTTCAAAATAATGGGAGTTATTACTGGCATTTGCTGGGTTGGGACAAGGAATGCCAGATGTCCTGACATATAATAGATAAAGATTTTGGAATTTTCATTACAAGAATAACATTGGTTACTGAAAAATAAATTTAAACGAACAAAATAAAGGTCAACCTAAATCCTACAAGCAGAAATTTAGATTTGATATTTTTTACACATCATAGTAATTCCTAGGTAAAATTTAAAGAAGTATTGGGAAAAAAGTAAAAATCATTTCAGACAATGCCATAGGAGTAATATAAAAATATACATTCTCAGCCCTGGCTAAGTAGGTCAACTGGTTAATGTCATCCTGATACATCAAATTTGCAGGTTTGATCTCCAATTAGGGAACATACAAAAAGCAACCAATGAATGCATAAACAGGTGGAACAGCATATCAATGTTTCTCTCTCCCCACTTCCTCTCTCTTTCTAAAATCAACTTAAAATTTTTTTTTAAGTATGCATTCTCTTCTAAAATATAAAGTGAAAATATAAAAGTTATAAATTATACTGTAGAAGGAATAAATTTATTTTATAGGACACTGTGAACAAGCAGTCTAAAAATAAAAATATTTTCTACTGTATCAGATCAATATATTACAAAAAAACCCCACCACTTTTCCTACAAATCAAACCAAAGACAGAATTTTAAGGATGTAAAGTTTTAAAGAAAGTGTTAAAATATTGCAGAGCATTTTAGAAATGTTTTGCATTTCTAAATGCAGACAGAAATATTCAAGAAAAATAGCAATAACCTTAACTAAGGTATAACCAAGTAACATACCTGTGTTCCTAAGCATTGCTAAATTCCTTCTTATATGTTACTTTTGCATATTACATATTCAGTACATATTACAAGCTTCAGTACATATTTGATTTCACCCATTTTTCTTCATTTTTAATTTATAATTTTATGCCAAATTATTTTATTTTATTTTATTATTTTTTAAAATATATTTTATTGATTTTTCACAGAGAAGAAGGGATAGGGATAGATAGCTAGAAACATCGATGAGGGAGAACCATCGACCAGCTGCTTCCTGCACACCCCCTACCGGGGATGTGCCTGCAACCAATGTAGATGCCCTTGACCAGAATCGAACCTTGGACCTTTCAGTCCGCAGACCTACGTTCTATCCACTGAGCCAAACCGGTTTCGGCTATGCCAAATTATTTTAAACATTATTTTCCCCCAGAAGTCTGAAAATAATACACTGTTTTCTCTATATATCATACATTCACTATATACCAATTCTAATATATCTTAATTCTAGACTATCATTTCACTGCAAATTAAAATATTAAAAGAATATAAAAGTTATCATCAAGATACTGTAGTAATTTATGTAGTAAACACTTTTTTTTTTGGTTTGTCAACATGTCAACATATGAATTCATTTTAGGTATCTTTTTAGAAAGTTTAAATTTTTCTTACTTGCTTTTTCCTTAAGAAGAGCAACTTGCTGTTTAAGATATTCAATAATTTGATCTGCCTCTGCACCTTTCTGTTCCAGTCTCTTCAAAACAGCATCATTGGTTGCCATTTTTGCCAAGAAACGGCAGAAAATCCTAAGTTAAAATATAAAAGTTATAAATTATACTGTAGAAGGAATAAATTTATTTTATAGGACACTGTGAACAAGCAGTCTAAAAATAAAAATATTTTCTACTGTATCAGATCAATATATTACAAAAAAATCCCCACCACTTTTCCTACAAATCAAACCAAAGACAGAATTTTAAGGATGTAAAGTTTTAAAGAAAGTGTTAAAATATTGCAGAGCATTTTAGAAATGTTTTGCATTTCTAAATGCAGACAGAAATATTCAAGAAAAATAGCAATAACCTTAACTAAGGTACAACCAAGTAACATACCTGTGTTCCTAAGCATTGCTAAATTCCTTCTTATATGTTACTTTTGCATATTACATATTCTCACTATTTACTTAATTATGTACAATTTTAAAGAGAAACGTGATTAGGAAAGACAAATATTAAAAGATCAACAGTTAGGAAAACATCAATACTAATCATATGTTTACTTAGAAGTAATGTCAGTATGTATACTGTGTCCTTTTAAAAGAAAATGAATTTTAATTTTATTGTATAATAATTCATAGAAATTAGAAAATATACTGTCACATACAAAAAAATGCATATAAGCAAAAATTCTGAGGTTAATCATGCTAGCTTAAACTGCCAAATATTTTACATTAAAAATGGTTAATCAGCCCCACCCGGTTTGACTCAGAGGTCCCGGGTTCGATTCTGGTTAAGGACTTGTATCTTGGTTGCAGGCTCCTCCCCAGTCTGGGTCTGGGTCCTGGTCGGGTGCATGCAGGAGGCAACCAATCTGTGTTTTTCTCTCAACACATAGATGGTTTTCTCTGTCTTTCCCTCTCTCTTCCACTCTTTCTAAATATCAGTAGAAAAATATCCTTGGGTAAGGATTAAAAAAACACACAAAAGAACTAAAAAACTACACTCTTCTGCCAGCGCTTGTGATCATTATTTGCATATTACTAGAAAACACTGGCATAAACTAATGGATTCTACTTATATTATTAAAAAAATCTAATAACAGTTAATCAACAAGTACTAGAAAACTTTCCAGAGCTCCTAATTCTAAAAACAATAATAGCTCTAAGCATTTGACAAAAATTGTATCAATACATAGACCTGACTAGGAACTAATCTAAAATATCTGACAAGAATTTTTTTTTTTAAATATTGGGATAAGTAATTTTGCCAAGATAACCAGTTATTTAGTAATAGAGAAAAAGTAGTCACTGGTTAGCAGCTGGTGTGTTTTATTGTTATTCTTAAATTATACTTTGCTACAAAAACTTGATTATTGCCAGAGGAATTACTGTTCTAAGATACTCTTCTACTGGGGCTTCTTTTGTTGTAGTATTGTTGATATTGTGGCAGCAAAAAGTAACCTAATATGCCCTGGCCTGTTTTACTCAGAGGTTAGAGTGATGGTATGAGGACCATAGAATTTTGGGTTCGATTGATTCCCAGTCAAGAGCATGCACCTCAGTTGCAGGTTCGATCCCCAGCCTCCTGGGGGAACCTCATGAAGGAGGCAACCAATGAATGTGTCTTTGTCCCCCTCTTCCCTCCCTTCCATTCTTTAAAAAAAATTAAAAAATCAATGGAAGAAATATCTTTGGGTGAGAATTGAAAATAAATGAAGAACTGTGCTATCTTAAATAATAAAAAGCTAATATTACTATGCTATCCTATACAATAAAAAGCTAATATTACTATGCTATCCTATATAATAAAAAGCTAATATGATAATTAGGCCAGAAGGTGGAATGACTTTCCACAATGACCAGTGGGCAGGGGCAGCCGGGGCTGCAAGGGCCGACCCCCCTGCATGAATTTTGTGCATTGGGTTTCTAGTATAACACAATGATTTATGGAGACTTGGAAAATTATTAATTATTGTGCAACCAAATTAGGACTTTGTTCATTAGTAGTCAGAATATAGAGTATTCTCAAATTTCCAATTCAGGTGCTCTAAAATTTATGTTTTGTTGAAATTTTTTTTAATACACTATTTTTTAAGAGTTGTTTTAGAATCTTAGCAAAACTGGGCAGAAAGAATTCAGTGATTTTTTTTTCCTTTCCTAAATCAGAATATACATCATGCTTATAAAACATTTTTTTTGGTGTTCATGGCCAGTTGTGTGCCTATGTCTAATTGGTATGTATGGTTTATTCTGGATTGCTTTGTCTTCTGAGCTGGAGCTGAGAACTGTTACATACCAGTTCTTTTATTTACACTAGTGGCCCAGTGCACAAAATTTGTGCACATTAAAAGGGGATTAGAGGAAATACTTCAATATTGCTATTTGCCCTTTCTCTATAATAGAAGTGTCAGAGATGAAACAAAAATAGTAAATGTATATGAAAATCTTCCTCCTGTCAGATTATGGGGTGCACCATGGGACCCATAGTTAAGTCCCTGCTCACCCAATTGCACCTCAAAGTTGCGTGAGACCCAGCCCCGGCTGGCCCCCCACATTGGGCTAGATCCAGAACCGACAGGTCCCACCCTTGTCAAGCCTCGCTGGATGGGGGTGCAGCCTCAGGTGCCCTGGCCCGGTGCCGGGAGGGAGGTGCAGCCTGAGGTCCCCCATCAAGCCCCACTGGGTGGGGGACACAGCCTCAGGTCCCCTGTCAAACCCCACCAGGCAGGGGAGTGGGACCTCAGGTCCCCTGGCTGGGTGCCTGAGTCCGGGATGTGGCCTGAGGGCCCTGTCAAGCCCTGCTGGGCGGAAGGTACAGTCTAAGGTCCCTGGCCTATTCTCTGACTGGGAATAGGCCAAAGCAGCCCAGCTGAGGTTCTCCTGTTGCCTCCTTTATGCCCTTCCTTGTTTCATTCTCCTAAGTATATTTTTGCTGTGTTCAGTAAATTCTTGCTTGCTTTTCTACACTTTGTCTCTTGTTTGAAATATTTTTCTCAAGAAGGCAAGAAGCCAGGTTTCTCCTCTCCTTTCCCTGATATCATCTTTTTGCTATTGTCTCTCTCAATTGCAGAATCTTTAATAAATCCCACTTTGCTTTTTGCTATTGTCTCTCTCAACTGTAATGTATCTTCAATAAATCCCACTTTGCTTTACTTTCATTTTTGTAAACATTAAAATCTTTTCTGCATAGAACAGAAAAACTGAGGTCCCAGCTGGGAACCCCAACTATAACAATCACATCTCATCAAACCTAAGAAGCTATGGTAAGATGTTCTAATAAAAATTTCATAGAAGTTGAAACTGATTTTACCAAATATATGGATATAACCTACATCTTAATCATTAAAACACACATATAAAAGATTATTTCTGAAATTCTTATCATTTCTGAATGACTTCCCTTTACCTCAGCAATCTCTTCAGTGGTCTTCCTCACTCTGATTCTAAATTGCCAGTAATTTCTTTTAAATAATCCCCTGCCCCAGGCTCTCAAAGTTAGGAACTAAATATAAACAAGTGAGCTATTGCTTTGAAAAGGAAGTTTTAAGTGTAGATTTAAAATTTTACCTTATAGTACAGGATCTCTAAAGATATTTGAAATTGTCTCTCTGCTTTCCAAAACATCTGATTCAACTGTTTCAGAATTGCAATTAGGTAAAAAATTTATATTCTAAGATACTTTACCACATTTCATCAAATCTAAGATACTATCAATTGCAAAATGGCTCCAATAACACGATGCCCTATTATTTTATGTACCGTTAACAACAAAAAAAGCCACTGCTGATAACTCAATGTTTTCTTATCACTTAGTCACATCTGTATCATTTATTGAAAGATCTCTTTTATTATTTTTTTTAAATCCACATTTGAGGATATGCTTTTCATGGATTCTAGAGAGAGAAAGGGAAATGGAGAGAATGAGAAACATCAATAGTTGCCCACGGTCAACAGGGAAGGAACCACAACCTGGCTATTTGCCCTGACCTGGAACAAATCTGTTAGGTAGGAAGTTAGAGAAGAGAGGCTATGGTGGGGCCTACCCTGGGGTCCTGAGAGGGGTCAGACCAACACTGCCTTCAGCCTGCCACTGTATGACACACTGCAGTTCATTTTTAAAAAGCCTTTCCCAAGTCTAATTTTAAAAAAAATAATCAACTCACCATTCACTAATACTATTACATATCAAAATTAAAAACACTAAGACTATGTCCAGCAGGTATGGCTTAGTGGTTGAGCATGAACTTATGAATCAGGTTATGGTTCAGTTCCGGGTCAGGGCACAAACGCCTGGGTTTTGGGCAGGACGCCCAGCAGGGAGTGAACAGGAGGCAGCTGATCAATGATTCTTTCATCATTGATGTTTCTATCTCTCCCTCCCTGTTTCCTCTCTGAAAGCGATAAAAACACTAAGAATATGACTGGCTATTTCTTACCAGCCCTCCTCAAGCCACCATTATGTCTCCCTGAATTGCTGAACAAGCCTCCTAATGATCTTCCCTCCATCGTGCCACTCTCCCCCCGTTCAGTCTATCTGATGATAGCAGTCAGTGAGATCTTTTTAAAAATGAAGTCAGGACCTAGCTGGTTTGGCTCAGCGGAAAGAGCGTCAGCCTGCAGACTGAAGAGTCCTCTGTTCCATTTCAGTCAAGGGCACATGCCAGCGTTGTGGTCTCGATCCCCAGCGGGGGGCGTGCAGGAGGCAGCCTATCAATGATTCTCATCAATGATGTTTCTATCTTCCTCTTCTTCTCCCCCTCTAAAATCAGTAAAAATATTTTAAAAATAAAATAAATAAAAATGAAGTCAGATTCTAGCACTCCGCTGCTCCAACCCTGCCAATGGCTTAGATGCCCTCTAGATCCTTCAATGACCTGCTCCTGCTTTCCCTGATTTTTTTGTCTCCAGCTTTAACAACTTCCCTCAACTCTGACCCACAACATTTTTGCTGTTCAGGCCAGTTTCTGCTTCATTGCTTTTGCAATGGCTGGTTGCTCTGCCTGACTGCACTTCACCAAGATTTCTGCATTGTTAATTCTCTCACCTCTGTCCTCTCTCTGCTATAGGATAGTCACCTTTTCAGTAAGACCTCCCCTGGCCACACTAACATTTCGATCTTCATCTTCCTTCTCGGCTTTATTTTGCCCTTCAGCGATCATTACAACCTAAAATATGGTGTGTTTTTCATAACTTTGTTTAGCACTTGTCCTCCTCAATAAAACGTGAAGTCCGGGGAGGCGTGAATTTTGGTCTGTTTTGTTCATTGCTCTTTTACCAGTGCCTGTGCCACAGTGGGAGCTCAGTAAATGAATGAATTCCTGTCTGCCCCCCCCCCACGTCACCAAGCTCGCTCACAGTCCTTTGACACATACGAGCACGCACTAAAATAAAGATGTTTGTGCATCGTATCCCTCGGCCTCGCATCCCATTTCTCACACTTGGCTCCTTCAGAACGCCCCCAGCTCTTCCCTACTTCCTCCTACCCAGATTCTATTTGCGAGATCGGACTTCCCACTCGTACCCGCAGGCCAGCTCTCATCTCCCGAAGGCAGGTTAGGGAAGGGGGGCCCTACGATCGCAACCTGGACCACTCCAGACCCCCGCAGGCGTCACTCACATGAATCAGCGGACTGGGGACCTGGAAGCAAGTCGGCCTTCGCCGGGAGCTGGAAGCCGCCTCCTGCGACGGCAGCGAGAAAGGACCCCACGAGGTGTCCCAACTAAACGCCTGTCTGAGCCACCCACGGATTCACCTTCCAATCTGTGGTCTCCTCCTTGTGTGCAGCCACGCTAAGCTCCCAGGATGCCATGCAGCCCTCCCTGGACCTCTTTCTTTGGTCGCGACGTTTTCTCGTCCCGTCGGGCAAGGCAAAGGGCAAGACGCCAGACGTTGGGGTCTTTCGTCAGTGGCGCGGCGCGGGAGCTGTGAGGTCAGAGGAAGCGGCCGGGCCAGGGGGAGGGTGTGGGGAGACTGGCACCTGTCAGTGCTAGGGACGGGCTCGCGCTTCGCCAGGGTTCTGAGCCCGGGACCTCCGCTGACTTTGCACGCAGGCAACGGACCCGTCTGCGCTGCGGCCCCCTTTGTGGCGGCTCCTGACATGCAGGGCCCGGGGCACTAAGCAGTAGCGGCGGCTCCAGCCACAGAAACAGCCCTGGGACCCCGTGTAGAAGCTCCATCCCCTTGTCTTTGTGTCCTGCGTCCCCAGGCTCCGAGGCAGGTATTGGGGGTTTCCCTCCTGTGTCTGTCCTAATGGGCGGGGCTGTGAAGCCTGGCAGGTGCGGCGAGTGGCCACGCCCACCCGCAGGGAGAGGTTGAGCGGACCCATTGAGCTGTTGGATGCCCTGCCTGGTCCCCATCCCTAGCGGGGGCCGCCTTCTACCTACACACATTTACCCGAGTCCTCTGGAAGGAATCTCTGCTTCAAAGGAAGATTGAAGGGGAGGTTAGAAAATGTGCACGTGGCTGTGTTACTCGTCACAGATGGCAACAACTGCTTTGGTTTGTTACTGGTTTGCAAAGGTTTAGTTACTGAGATGTGATTTCCTTGTGGAGTGGAAGAAATTGAACAAGGGGAAGTTACTTTACAATTCTAACGAGGTGCTTTTACAAGGACCCAATGTCCCTGTTTTTTGTTTGGGACAGAAACAACTTCTTGAGGGGAAGTATATAAAATAAATGAACTAGTTTCATTCGCCCATTGAAGAAATGTACAAACTGTTTTATCATCTTTTGCCCATTTCCCCCCGTTATTCCCCAACTTGAGTCATATCAACTCCAGATTCTTTGAGGGCACAGATTGTGCTTTGTTCACTATAATTAGCAATTTTCAAACCTAAGTGCTTGCATTGTTGTTATTCCTCAACTAATCTCTCACCTCAGCTGTCTCCCTCTCCCCCCACTAGCATTCTTCCATTCACCAAGTGAGAAAATCTGTATTTTTTTTTTTTTTATGCAGGAATCTAAGAGGTATTTAAAGCAAAACACAAAACACATGTTTTGTGCTAACTAATGTGTGTTTCTGAAAAATTTGCATTTTCTTCATTTGGTTATTTGATTTTTAGGTGTCTTAAGTGATTGAGGCATCTAATTGTAATAAAATATTATAGAAGGACTGCATAATGAAATACAACAGTTTAGTGTCTCCCTTTGTCCTCTCAGTCCTATTCTTCAGAAATAACCACTTTTAACCTCACCTAATTTAGATTTGAATGTTGCATACTTATGGTAGGTAAACTACTAATTATTTTTTAAATTGACTTCTTAAGATAGTCCACATCATCCACAAACATCTCATCTACAAATTTGTGAATAATTATTATAATATTTAGTTTTCATACTGATTAGTTCTAAGTAAATGTAAACTCAATTTTTTTTCACATCAATTTTCAAAAATATATTGTGGCTCATTATTTGGTAAAAGAAGAAAAGTAGCGACTCTAGTTTATTCTTTACCATTTCAGAAACCAAATCTGCTCCTACCTTCTCTGAGCTGGACCTTTACTTACAGGCTATCAGAAGATTTGTCATGTTAATAGCAAATTGATTCTTTTTCACTTCCTCTACAATGACAAAAAAATTATGCTTTATGTTTTGGACCAATGTGCTTCTTAAATGGTTTTTAACCCCTCCGCACTTTCACAAAGACTTTCTGATTTCTTTTGAGGAAGAGATGCCTATGCTTTCATCACCTAGTCCTTCCATCTTGTACTTTCTTGACCACCTATTCTCATTCTTAGTATGAGAACCTACCATTTCATTTCTGTGCTTGAAGATGTTTTCCTTGGATCCCAATCACTTTCTGTTTAATTTGAATAGATTCTATTCTAGTCCTTTTGTGCAGCTTCTTTCCTGGGTTACATTCATTGAACTCTTGAATAAGTAGCAATAATTTTTAACTCAACATCTTCTATTATTTGGTTTTCTCCTCTAAAGAAATTTATTTATAAAAGGTATGTGGATGGTAATTTTATTTCTTAGTATTTGTGTAGCTGTACATTATCTTATTGCTGTTATGGTTGATAGTTTTGCTGGGTATAGAAACCAAATCTTCCAAGACTTCACCATCTTCTAACCTCTTCACCATCTTCTAACCTCCAGTGTTGCTCATGAGAAGATGAAAATATCAGTCAGATCTTAATTTGTTGGTGCTAGGATTATTTGTTTGCTCTCAGAAATTATTAAAATTTTTAGTTATGCGTGATGTTTTGAAAAAATTTTATGATATATATTTTTCTTAAATATATTTTTATTGATTTTAGAGAAGAAGGGTGAGGTAGAGAGAAATAGAGACATCAATGATGAGAGAAAATCATTGGTCAGCTGCCTCCTGCACACCCTGTACTGGGGATCAAGCCTGCAGCCCAGGCATGTGTCCTGACAGAAAATGGAATCACTACCTTCTGGTTCATAGACTGATGCTCAACCACTGAACCACACTAACTGGTTGATATATTTTGGTGTGAATTCCTTTGAATTAACTCATTCAAAGGTGCTAGAATAAATAACTCAGTGTGAATCTTTTTTCTTTTATCCTCCTTGAAATTATAAGACTTTTTCATTTTAAGATTTATGTTTCCCTTCATCTATAGGGAATTTTCCCCTATTGTATTGTATTTTTATTCTCCTTAGTTTTTCTGGTTTTTGGGTTTTTTTTGAAACCCATTAAAGTAATTCTTTTGCTTGATTCACATGTCTGTTATCTTCTTGTATGCTTTTACTATTTGGTAATCACATCAAGCACTCATTTAATTAATCCTTTCTCGTGTTTTCTCAGTTTATTTTTTTGCTTCTTATTATCAGATGAAATTTATATATATTAAATACTGTTAAATTGTGGTCCATAGTCTTTCTACCAATTTTCATTCAGTTTCTTTATATCCTCCTAATATGTACTAGTGGCCTGGTGCGTGAATTCTTGCACATTGAAAATAAATTAAAAGAAATATTTTAATATTGCCAATCGCCCTTTTTCTTTAATAGAAGTGTCAACCAAATTCACGATCAACAATGACAGATTAAAACATACACATGGGATTGACACCAGCGAGAGCGTGTATCACGCATGTGCAAGTTAACTTAGCCTTTTATATATACTGATATATAAAATAATCTTGCTTAATTAGACCCATTTTCTGATGTAGCTAAACTTTTTCCAACCCAGTGAAGCACCCCAACTTCTCTTTCAGGTAATTTTCAGCAACACAGCAGTAAATATCAACTCAAAGCAGATTATTATTGTAGATCACTCAGGGAGAATAAAGAGTAAAATATTTAATTTCAACAGTGTTTGACTATATTCTGCTCAGTGAGGAAACTTGAAGTTATTTTCAAGGTCCAACATTTCTTTCTTCTTTTCAGTCGGGTCAAGTTTCTAAGCTTTCTAAATCTTTATTTTCTGACTAATTAAAAGAAAATGGGATTCAATTGAGTCTCCTATTTACCTACTCCAGGACTTCTGTGAGGATCAAATGAGATGAGGCACAGGAAAACACTTTGCAAACATTTGGTTGAACTGCAAAATGTTTACACCTGTCTATAAAGCAATTTGGATTCCTGCGCTGAAGAAACTCCAAAGAGGCTAGTTGCTAGGGAGAGGAAGCTGGGTGTTACCTGAAGTCCATAGCGACAGTTTCTGGGCAAGGCTGGGCTGTGGGCCTCATTTTGTGCCATAGGGTCTTGGCAGCATTGACTGCAGTTTGGTAGGGTGTCACTCTGGGGGGGTGGTGGAGCCTGTGTCCTACTTGGGGGAAGCCTCGTGTTGCTTTGTGGGTGCCAGGTCCGTGGTGCTGTTTCTTTGTGAATGGCCAGTACACATCACAACAGCTCCTGCATTGAGCGTCTGCTCCCAGTGGTCAGTGTGTGTCATAGAAATCAGTCAGAGGGTTAGACACTTAGCATATTAGCCTTTTATATATATACATATATATATATTAATATATATATATTATATATATATATATATATATAAAATCAGATTTCTTGTTACTATCTGACAGATATAAATTTCATATGGTTGTAATGAACAATTTCCTGAATATTAATGAGTTATTTATCTACTCATATATATTGACAATTATTTTTTATTCTTTTGTGAAATATGTTTTTCCATACCTCTTGTTTTCTGTAAGGGATGTAATATCTTCTCAAATCTTTCTAAATATGTTAGAGTTGAGTTTTGGATTTAAAAAAAAAAATATATATATATATATATATATATATATATATATATATATATAAAATATTTATATATAAAATTGATTTCAGAGAGAAAGGAAGAGGAAGAGAGAGAAACATCAATGATGAGAGAGAGAATCATTGATCAGCTGCCTCCTGCAAGCACCCCACTGCGGATTGAGCCTGCAATCCAGGCATGTGCCCTTGACCAGAATTGAATCTAGGACTCTTCAGTCCACAGGCCAATGCTCTATCCATTGAGCCAAACTGGCTAGGGCTGGATATTTTTATTTACAGAAGTTATTTTGGTTGCCTGTAGAGCAGATTTTTTTTCCTTGGCTTATTTTATTTTTTGCCTTTTGTTCTATAGTTTTTCCTTAGCTATCTAGTGATTTCTGGGCAGTTCATTATTTAAAAATTAAGGAAAGCTGTCTAGGTACTTTACACATATGCACAGGCTTATTGATTAACATACTCTGTTTTTGGATCATTGAGTGGACAGCCAGATCTTAACGGGGTCCTACAAGTTCCAAAAGTAAGAGGAGGTTGATTTTGTCTGAATCTGAAGTCTCTGAAGGGCTGGGCAAACTTCTTCACTATGTTATAGGTTGTAACTTCATCTTTCTGTTTCTTGTGATAGTACTCTTCCATATGCAAAATGCTTCACAGTAGTTTCTTAAAATCTTTCATCAGCTTGTGGCTCTTTTCTCTTTATTGTTATGAGATTATATATTTGAAAATATTTTCATTCTTTTGTTGAGATTTCTGGGCAGATGTATTTATGAGAAGTGGCATATCTCCTTAATTTAGAATTCCAGATCTTTATTGTGAAAGCTGAGAAGGGAAGGTTGCTGTGCTTGACCAGTAGAAAGTCTCTTCAATGATACACCTGGGCAGGGGGGAAATTTTATTCAGGACCTTTTTTGTCATGGTTGTCTTAATGTAAGTCAGATTGATTTTGGAGCAAGTTTTTTAATCTCCAGGCTGCTCTATTGCACAACTCTGAGGCGCCATATGTTTTGGAGTCTATGCTAATAAGACCCCTCAGGATCTACACATGGAACATTTATCTCAAACCTGGAGGCAATAACGTTTGTCAAGATTCTTACGGGGACTAAAACAAATCACATGTAAAACACCCAGCACAAAAATGAAATTGATTAGTCATTTCAATGACAGTGCCTTCTGTTATCTAGTTGAATTTTTACTACTATTATAATAAAAGTCCTTGATTATTTAAAGTGTCTGGTTAGTATCTCTATTTCCTATTTCCTTGCCTCATCTAAAAAAAAATTTCTTGTTAGTCTAGGGTTATTCAAGCTTTAGGTAAAGGGAAGAGCCTTATTGAAATTAATATGCAGTAATGAACTATCTCTAAACTCAGTACTGTCAAGCATCAGTGAAGAGGAAATGTCCTATCTTTTTCTTTGAATGCTATTGAAAGTGTTTGACTTAGATTTATAACTGCAATGTTAATTTCTGATTGGTATTTTTTTCTTCTTTGATATTATCTTGGAATTTTTAAACTTGACATTTTTTTACTTTGAAGTATTCAGATTAACATTCCCTCCAAGTTACATATTTACTTGAGGCCTGGCCCAAGAAATGCATACACAGGTAGGGTCCCTAGGCCTGGCCTTTGATCAGGGCCGATTTTCCTTGGCTGCTACCAGCCGCTCCCTTGCCCGCTTCATCCTCTACCCAGTTTCCAGTTCACTGTTGACTGACAGGCCCCGAGGATGATCAGGGCCTTCGGGCTGAGGTCAACTCCTGTGTTGAGCGTCTGCCCCCTGGTGGTCAGTGTTGTCATACCCAACTGGTCATTCTGCCATCTGGTCAATTTGCATATTACGCTTTTATACATATATAGATTGTTAATCATGTCTAAGGTAAGGAAACACTGGTTTAATGTTTGTTGATCTGTCAAAAAATTCTTTCCTTTTCCAGATTATCTTGGAAGATCTATGACTCGGAGATGTTTCCCTTGAAGGATGTTGAAATGGGTGCCTTTACCTTCTTTGCCTCCGCTCTACCACATGATGTTTGTGGAAGCAACGGGCTTCCTCTCACACCAAATTCCATCAAAATTTTAGGGCGCTTTCAGATCCTTAAGACCATCACCCATCCAAGACTGTGCCAATATGTGGATATTTCTAGAGGAAAACATGGTGAGTTGATATTTTTTATCCATTCTGTGTTCTTTGCTCTGTTACCTTGGTTAGGTTATAAATATACAGTACATGTGTCCATGCGTGCCTTTGCCCTTCACTTTAGCCCAAACTCCTGTCAGTCAAAGCTCTAGTCATTTGAGGTTTTCTGACTACATTTGAATGATTTATATATCACAGGTCTGAGAACCAGGATTTTTAATTTTATTTTTCAGGGAATTCACCTATCCTTAAACATATTTATTCACCTCTGTAAGAAGGAAATGAATGTTCTAATGTTAGAAACTTTATACTTTATTGGAATGTATTTTTTTATGGTTGAAGATAATTTGGACTCTCTTTGAATGAAAGTGAGCTGCTTTTTTTTTTTTTTGAATTGCAATAGCTTTTTGTTTTTACTTATTTTTTATTGTTTGAAGCATTACAAATAGTAGTACATATATCTCCTTTTTCCCCCCTTGACCTTTTCCCAGCCTCCTCTTATCGCCCCTCCCCCCCCCCCAAATGCTTTTTTCATATAGGATTCCATGTAGAGAACTGACATAGAAATGTTTAACCCTATTGGTTAAAAAGTTAATGTTTTACCAAGAAGATATTTACTTTCTTTTTATAGTATAATGGGGTGCTTCCATATCCCATGTCTTAATCAATTCAGGCTTCTTTAACAAAACACCATAAACTGAGTAGCTTATAAAGAACAAACATTTATTTAGTACTGGAGTCTAGAAAGTCCAAGACCAAGGCCAAAGCAGATCCCATGTCTAGTGAGGCGCAGTTCTTCACTAATAGCCATCTTGTCACTATAACATCACATGGTAGGAGAGACAAGGGAGATCTCTCAAGCCTCTCACAAAAGCATTAATCCAATTCATGAAGGCTCTGCACTCATGACCTACTCACCTCCCAAAGGCTCCACCCCAAACACCATCCGTTGGGGTTAGATGTCAACCTATGGATTTTAGGGGAACACAAATGCTCAATCTACAGAACACATAAATATGCTTATGGTGGCGATATTTTCTTTTTAATGATTTATTTTAGAGAGGGATAGAAGGGGAGATATAGAGACACATACGGAGAGAGAAACTTCTATTTGTCTTTCCACTTATTTATGCATTCATTGGTTGATTCTTGTATGTGCCATCACAAGGAATCAAACCCATAACCTTGGCTTATCAGGATGATGTTCAAACCAACTAAGTTACCTGGCCAGGGCCATCGTGGTTGTTGCATTGGCCCATGGACTGAAGAGTCTTGGGTTCAATTCCGGTCAAGGACACATAATTACAATAGATTGCAGTCTTGTTCCCCAGCCCCAATTGGGGTGCATGTGGGAGGCAACCAATGGATGTGTCTCACATCAATGTTTTTCAAGCTCTGTCTCTTCCTCTCCCTTCCAGTCTCTTTACAAATCAATGTGAAAAATAGCCTTGGATAAACAACAAAAAGATAGATATCATTTGAAACTTTTTATATGATTAAAAAATTGATATTGTCGATTCCTGAATGCCTCAAACACCCACCCCCTCCCTCCATAACCCCTGTACACACCATCCAATTACAAATTACAGATTCTAAAGAGTTTTCAGTTGTTAGGTTGGCTAAGTTCCAAAACCACTCTAGGAAAGTTTGACAATATACTAATAGTATATACTCATTATCATCTGTAACTAGGGACCATAATCAATCTTTTTTATTTTACATCTGCAAATTTGAATATGCCTGTCTTCACCTGTCTTCTAAAAATTTTGCCACTTTGCTCAATCCTTAGAACTTTTTCATTCTTGTATCCTCAAGTGCCCTTTATTCCTTTTCACTATGTCTGGAAGTCTGTTTGGAACTTTAGTTCATGTAACAGGGATCTTACCCTCTATCTAGGCTTTATTTTCTAGAGTTAATGACTCAATAATTCTAGGTATTTCTTGAGCTCCTTCTTTTCCTTCCTTTACCTAAATGTGCCCCTGTAAATGCTGAATCAGGAAAAATCTTATTATATAACTATAGGACCGATGCACGAAATTCGTGCACAGGTGTGTGAGTGTGTGTGTGTGTCTCAGTCTCAGCCCACCCTGCATCCTGTCCAATCTGGGACCTGTAGAGGGATGTCTGACTGCCCATTGTGGGACCTATAGAGTAAGGTGACCAGACATCCCGCTTTTGGTGGAACAGTCCTGATTTTTAGCAATTTGTCCCATGTCCCGTGGTGTTTTAAAAAAGTGCCAATTTTTGGAAAGTCTGGTCACAGAGGGATGTCTGATTGCCCATTTAGCCCAATCCCAAATGGGCAGTCAGTCATTTCTCTCACAGTCCAGGAGTACTGGCACCCAACTGCTTGCCTGCCTGATTGCCCCTAACCACTTCCACCTACCAGCTTGGTCACCCCCTAACGATTCTTTTGCTGGCCCAATTGCCCCTAACTGTTCTCCCCTATAGGCCTGGTCGCCTCCAAATGCCCTCCCCTGCTGGTCTGGTCACCCCTAACTTCCCTTTCTTGCCACCCTGGTTGCCCCTAACTACCCACCCCTGGTGGCCTGATTGCCCCCAACGGCCCTCCCCTGCAGGCCTTGTCCCTCCCAACTGCCCTCCCCTGCCAGCATGGTCACCCCTAACTGCTCTCCCTTGCCTGCCTGGTCACCTCTTACTTCCCTCCCCTGCCGCCCTGGTCACCCCCAACTGCCCTCCTCTGTAGGCCTGGTCACACACAACTGCCCTCCTCTGCAGGCCTGGTTGCTCCCAACTGCCCTCCCTTGCAGGCCTGGTTCCTCCCAATTGTCCTCCCTGTTTTCCTGATTGCCCACAGTTGCCCTCTCCTGCCAGCCATCTTGTGTCCACATGGGGGTGGCCATCTTGGACCACATGAGGGCAGCCATCTTGTGTGTTGGAGTGATGGTCAATTTGCATATTACTCTTTTATTAGATAGTATTTCTCTGGAGATCACTATTGATGACTTTGCACAGGAACCTTCTTTTTAGTTATCAATATCAGGTAGGAATGGATTCCCTTAGACAGGAATCTCTGTTAGGGCTGAAACCAACTCATAAATCTGGGTAGTCCCTTTAGGCCTATGCACCATCTTGCTAGTTACTCTGCTCCCCCTGCTTGCTCTTCTCCTCAATATCAGCACCCCTCTCTTCTAGGGTAAAATAAATCGGGGATATGTATAAAATTTATAAAGTTTAAGTTTTGCTGTTTAGAATGAAAATATCAGTGATTATCAAAAGATCAGAAAATTTGATTATCTTGTTTATATTGACAGTACTCATTGTCCTAAAAAATTGTATGTATAAGGATTAAATAACTGAATTGAGTATGTATTTACGTAAGGGTCTGTTGTTCCTAAGTATCCCAGACATTTCAGTTGCATTTAATTTGAAAATTTTGAAAGTTTCTACTCAACCATCTTCTTTTTTTGTTAATCTTCACCCAAGCATTTTTCCCCCATTGATTTTTCTAAAAGATATGGAAGGGAGAGAGAAAGAGAGAAACATAGATGTGAGAGAGATACATTGATTGGTTGCCACCCCATGGGCCCCCCACAGACCAGGGCAAGAATCAAGCCTGCAATTGAGATACATATGGGCCCTTAACAGGAATCAAACCCAGGGCAGAACCCTTCAGTCCGCAGGCCAACACTCTAATCACTTGCCAAAGTATCCAGGGCTACACAGTTTTCTTACCAAACAAATAAAATTTTCAGTAATTTAACAACACATGATTTTGGTTTGGACTCCACTTGATTGCCTTATCAAAGAATTTTGTTTTTGGTTTCTTTTTCCCCTTTATTCTGTTCTTGCTATGCAGATATCCTACATCTTGTCATTGTTATTCCCTCACTCCCTACCTTCCCCTTTGTATTTAGAGTCACATGTGACATATGGTCTGTTTTAGTAACATTATGTTTTCACATGTTGGATTAGCTCAGAAATCAGGCTTTCACCGTTTTCTATACAGTAGATCATTCAAAACAGACTCAAGATGATGTTAGTTTCTTGCTAAATCAACAGGATTAAATATTTCATCTCAAGAATAGTGAACATTTTATTAAAATTTGAGATCTTGTTTATAAAAGTAAAGTTGAGGAAAATATCTTTAAAATATAAAAGGCAAATATAGCATGAAATACTTGAACAAATTTAATGTTTTTCTTTTGAGGTTGAAATCTCTTCAGTGTTTAGAAGCTGAGTGAAGATTATAAATTGTAATGCATACCAGTTTATTTGGAATTTGTTGTCCAGAAATATTTTGGTCATTGCTAGTGAAATAGATTTGAAATTCAGGTAGAGAATAATAAAATTGTTAAGGACCAGTAACATAATTTATTCTGTATTTCTAGGTGCATACAATTTCAACCGAAATGTCTATATCAGTTCAGAGTTCCTTCAGAAAAACAGAACCAACAGGATATATATGAATACATTAATTGGTAGGAATTGGCATATATGATTTTAGAGGCGGGGTGGGTAAGTCTGAACACTTGAGTGAGACCTGAGCTGCAGTCCATGGGTGAAATTTCTTCCTTAGAGTAGCTTCTTCTCTCTTCTTGGGGCCTTTACTACTGATTGAATCAGGCTCACCCAGATTATCTAGGATAATCTTTCTTGCTTAAAGTAAACTTATTATAGATTTTGATCACATATAAAATACCTTCATGGTAACACCTAAATTTGAATAACTAGAGGCTGCAGCCTTGCTATCTTGACTCAGAAAACTGACCATCCCAGTGACCTAGTAACAATGCTGTTTCTTAAGTACTGACTTATTTTCATCAGTTGCACCATATAAATATTTATTTAAATATTATATTTAAAATGTAATGAGCTAGTCTCAATTTTTACTGTGAATAACAAAAGGATGATGCAGTAACTATATTCTAATAACCTTTCAGATTACCTGAGCACATTTACAAATTTACTTTTTGTTAAAAAATTATTTTTCTTTTAGTCCTCTACTTATTCAACTCTTTTATTATTTTTCTTTTGCTTAATGTTGTGCTCTCTTCAATTTCTTATTATTGATTTCAAACATAAAATTCAGTCTGTATGTACAACATAGTGATACTTGGCATTCATCAGATATTTGTTAGAAGGAAGATTATTTCACAGTTCTTTTATGTTCTCTTTAAAGTTTATCTTAGTGTTACATTTGTTTTTGTTTTTTTTTATAAATACTGCCACTATATTGCCGACTTATATTTGGCACATGATTTCTAAATATTTTTGTCAGATTTTATTATGTGAAACTATATTGTTTTATAACAAACAGAAGTTATTTTCAAACAGCGATCCAGAGTTTCAGGATGAAAACTCTAATGATTTCTTGAAAAACCTGGCTTGTATTGGAAATAGTGTTTTGGTATACACTTCATTACCTCTGGGAGAAACTTTGATATTCTACCACAGATCATGGCTCTGCTGCATTAAAATAATACTTCAAAACTCAATAGGATCCTAAAGTTTTGGCAAACTCTGTTTTATGATAATTTGAAGAAATTTCCAGAAGAAGCTTGATGGCAAACACTTTGGAAATATCTCATGGATATCAATATGTATGGATATCCAAATTAAAATTATTAGTTAATGGAGTGTGTACACTTTAATAAATTATGATGTTTTTGTTTTATGTTAAAATCAGTGCTACTGAGGTGTTATAATGCCTAGTGTACAACATAAACATATACTTTTCCTCACAGGACAGATTTCTGTTTAGATAATGATTGTCATCATAAGAGACTCTTATTCATTTCTAATGGCCATATCATGCCTTTGATCATTTATTTAATAAGTAAACTCCTTTAAGAGTATTTTTCTGTTAGATGCTTATATTTTTGAAGTACCATTCTAGAAACTGGTGATGTATTTGAACAAGACCAACATTGTTCCTGCCCTCATTATGTAGTGGATAACAAATACATTAAATAAAAATAAATGTAGTTTTTTGTTTTTTTATGGTTGAGATAAGTGCTACAAAAGAATAGTATAATGTAGAATCTTATCTAATAAAGAGGGAATATGCATATTGACTATCACGCCATCACAAATATGGAAAAGCCCATAGCCACAAGATGGCAGTGCCCAGTCCCCTTAGCCCCGCTGGAGTCCCCCAGTCCTTTCAGTCCTGCTGGATTGGGTCACAGGTGTGAGGTGTGGCCAGATCCACCCTCAGCTGCCCAGGGCCAGCCCAAGGCATAGGCAAGCCTCAGATGTGAGCTGCCCAGATGCATAGGGCTGGCCCAAGGTGCAGGCAAGCCTTGGATGGTGGCTGCCCAACCACCCAGGGCTGTTCAAGGCTCAGGTAGCCAGGGCTGGCCAAGGTTTGCACTGCAGGCAGTGGAAGCAGCAGAAGTGTGATGGGGGTGTCACCTTCCCCTGATCACCTGATTGCTTCCAGCCCCTGAGGGCTCCCAGACTATGAGAGGGGGCAGGCCAGGCTGAGGGACACCTCCTCTAGTGCATGAATTTTCATGCACTGGGCCTCTAGATTATATTACAGATGGAGCAAATTTATTTTGGGGGAATAAAACAATATTTCTTGAAGAAGTCACATTTAATTGAGGAATGGATAATAACACTAGTTAACACTTAGTGATTACTATATGCCAGGCACTATTCTAGGATCTTATATATTACCATATTTTCCGGTGTATAAGACGACCAAAAATCGGGGATCGTCTTATACGCCGAGTATATCCCGAAAATAGGCGAATATAGGCCTAAACCTATGTTTTAACTGTAAAATTAGGGGGTTGTCTTATACGCCCTATCGTCTTTTTCGGTTGACTTTTTTCATTTCAAAAGTCGTCTTATACGCCAGAAAATACGGTAACTCATTTTAACCTCAGCATAACTCTGTGAGGTTGGTGCTATAACTTCCTCATTTTTCAGAAAAGGAAACTGCAGCATAGAGAGGTTAGCAAACTTCCTCAAGGTCACAGAACTAATGAGTATTAATCCTAAAATTGAACCCGGACAGAATAATCTGTGCTCTTAACCACTATGTTTAATGATAGAATTTGACTGGGAGAAGGGAATGGGGAAGATAATTTTAAGCAATGGGAATCCATGTGCTAATACCTTAAGACATGAAGGGAGGAAGGCCAGTGTACATGGAAGTTGGTGAGCAAGAGATAAAATAACAAAAAATAAAGCTAGAGAGGAAGTTATACATTTAGATTTATTAATATTTCATCACTTAGACTTTAATATGGAAATATATTGGAAGGGACTAAGAGTGTGAGAAGCTCAATTAAGAGACAGTTGTGTTAATCTAATAAAAGCTGATGCTGGCTTGGACCCAGCAGATGGAACAAACTATACAGATTCTGCAAACAGTTGGGAGATAAAAATACCAGAACATATTGTTTGGATTTGAGAAAGGGATATTGCTCCAAAATTTCTAACTATAGAAGCTGCCAATGTAGTGGCACTATTTACTGAAATAGTGCTAAAGGAAACAGGCTTATGAAGCAAACTATATGCTCATTTTCAGTTCTGTTGAGTTTGAGATGACTTTTATATTAAAGTGAGAAATTGTCTGTATAAGCCTGGAGTTTAAAAGGGAGTTCTGGACTTGAGATAAAAACTGAGAGGTGTTCAGCCTTGGTAATAATAAGGAGAAAACACAATATGAAGACCCAGAATTAGGTGGGGGAACTAGAAACATTTAAAATTAAGGAGAAAACACAATATGAAGACCCAGAATTAGGTGGGGGAACTAGAAACATTTAAAATTGTGGTGAGAGAGATTCCAGTTTACAGAGTAAACTTCAGAGAGATAGCCAGACAGCTATAAGGAAAACTTACAAAGTGTGGTTGGATGGAAAACAAAGGATGCAGCTTTTGATTTTGTTTTTCTGATACCATTATTTCCTTTTTTTTTTTTTTCATAGTTGTGCTAAATTACTTGGAGTTCAACTTTGTATGTTCTTTTATTAATTGAATTGAAGATTTTCTTTACAATTCTCTTTTTTCTTCTTTAGTGGTCTTTCAAATTTAATTCTCTTAAAGTTCCTGTTTTGTCACATGGGGTCTTTCATCTGAAAGTGATAGCTGTTATTTAGAGCATTTTTAATCTTAGTGTTTCAATCCATTCTGTATTTTGCTACCCTCTCTGAGAGTTTCAACTTCCAAAATGTGACCATTCCATATCCTGCCCTCACATTTTACTTGACTGCCTGTGTATAACCTTTTCCCATTTCTATTCCCCCATGTGAGACCAGACCTTAAACTAATTGTTACCCAGTTAGTTCCTTTTACTGGTTTTCCTACTCTGAAATTCTCCTTTCCTATCTTCTATCTCAATTTTCACTATTCCTTGTAGTCTCATTGTACCTTCACTTTTTTTTTTAATCCTCACCTGAGGATACTTTTCCATTGATTTTTAGAAAGAGTGGAAGAGAGAGGGAAAGACAGAGAAACACATCTATTGGTTTCCTCCTGCAAGTGCCTTTACCTGGACCCAGGTCTGGGAGGAGCCTGCATCCAAAGTACTTGCTCTTGACCTGAATCAAAACCAGGAAACTTAGGTTCACAGGCCGACACTCTATCTGCTACTAGGGTACACCTTCACTTTTTTATCTTTGCCATCTATATTTTGTGATAATCTTCTTTCTTATCTAATCTTGAATCCATTTTGTATGGATGTTCACAGTATTGCAATTTCTTTTATACCCTTAATCTCTTCTGAAATAACCTTATTAAAACCCCATCCACTTGTAAACCCAGTTGTATTTTTCTCTTGTTCTTATATTAATCATTTACAAATATATATACATTTGCTACTATGTCAGACAATGTGTTAGTCACTAAGGTTACTGATGAAGGAAAAAGTATCACGCTCAGAACTGTGCTATCTCATTTATAGATCTGTTAGAAAATAAAATTACATCATAATATTGATTGTGCCTGACAAAATTTTTATTACATAATCTTAGAAGGCCCCAGGATATTACAAACAATCCCATATCAATTTTCTGTTCTTTCTCCATAGTCATGATTCAGAATATTTCTACTTTTGTCAAGTTTCTGAACTCAATTTCACAGACTTTTTGTTGGACCCAGGCTATGGAAATAATCTGTTCCTAGCTCCCAATTTTCCCTTCCCTTCAAATATTTTTTATATCTTCATCCAACCTTTTTCTTTTCCTAGTCTATGTTAGGGGAAGGATCACTTTTTTCCAAAGGTAAGCCTTTCTGTCTATTTTTCCTGATGTGTTTTCCATGGGAGAAAAACACAATATGAAAGGATGTTACTTAATGTATTGTTTTATTACACATTGATCCTGTTATTCTATATATTTGGTTATATATATTATGTAATTAATATAGAGTTTGAAAATCTCTTAAAATATCATTTGTATTGTCTGTTAATATCACTAGTGAGATGTATTATTTTGTTATTAAAATGTTGTATTCATAACATATAAAATGGATTTGTTTTGTTTTATTCAGAGAGACTGGTGGTAGTGGCTGAACACTGTGAACAGAGCCTGGAAGACTTACTCCAAGAAAGGAAACCTGTGAGGTACTATGTAATATCAGAAACATTGAATGAAAAGCAGAAGTTGGCAAACAAAAAGCCATTTCAACTAGTAATGGCAGTGTTTTAGTTCCTTCTGTTACTTGTTTAATGATAAAACCCAGGTGCAGATTTTCATTTTGGGAAATTTAATTCATAGACCTCATAGAAATTTATTGTTGACATTATCCAATGTTCAACTTTTGTGAAGCAGGCATTCTCTGAAGCACTTGGCAAAAAAATGCCTATGCAGAATATATGTGACAATTTGAAATCTTTTTAGCACGAAGCAGTTCTGCAGCTGAGATTAAGAGTATTTTCCTGAAAGGGGTACTTGGTAACTTATACAGGATACTAGTATTCCTAGGGACCCAATGAATTGTGTTATTTAAAGACCCTGTTGAAGAGTCTAGAAAAATAATATCATGGTTTGGGTAAAATTTAATGCAACAGTTTAAGTTCAATTATTTCAAGACTTGGTATATTTATTTTCAGTTTCAGGCATTCTTGGCAAGAAGAGCATAAGGTCTAAGTTATATTATAAATATTCTATTAAATGAGCTTCGTGGATTTTTCTGAAAATATCTTAAAATTATAAAAAATATTTATTTAATGCATAAAGAAAGCTATACCAAACCAATGAAAAGTGTTTTCCAGGAGTCTTTACAGGATTATACTTATTTTAGTTTAAAATATTATTTTTGCTGAATAGTTTTTAATTGCTGCTCTATTCTAAATGAAAATAGATCTTTTTCAAGGGAGAAAAATATGTATCTTACTAAATGGTAGTAATTTACTAGAAGTAAAACAAATAAATGGAATAAAAGTACTTTTGGTGCTCTTTTAAATGATTTGGTTTTAAGCAGTCTCCGGCATGAAACATGCAGATATCAAGTATATTATTACCTTATTTGCTTCTTTAGAAAGTCTAATCTGACCATAGGAATTAAAAGTCGTTTTTTAATATATTTAGAAATAACTTACTCTTACTTAGTATATGTATTTTATAATTATAATTCTTGCATGACACAAATTTTTTAAGAATATGTTACTCTGTGATCACCAGTTTAAATTTATTCTTTATAGGCAACAAATGCTGTGAAAGATATTTGACATTAAAATTGAAAACCAATTGTAGCCACATCTTTATTGAAAAAAATCCCACACAACACTTAATTTTATTTCAGGCTGGGTTAAATTAGAATAAAAATGTATAATTCGTTATATTTGATGCGGAAATCTCTAGCTAGCTAGTCAGCCTTGGACAATTATTTTAATCGTTTTATCTGTAAAACAAGGAGTTTCACTTGATATAGGAATCATTCTAAAGGGTGTTATTCTCAACTTTATATTTTATTTAATATGCATTACATTTGGTAATATAATATTGACCAATTGCCTTTACAAGTACATATTTTTATGTTTTCTTATACCAGTACTAGAGGCCTGGTGCATGTTTCATGCACCAGAGGGGTTCCTTGGCCTGGCCTATAGGATTGGGCTGAAACTGGCTCTCTGACATCCCCCGAGGGGTCCCGGATTGAGGAACGCGGGAGGTTGGCCAGCAAGAGAGGGACTTCAGAAGGGCTCCAGGATGTGTCTGGCCCATCTCGTTCAGTCCCAATCTGCCAGACCCCAGCAGCAAGCTAACCTACTAATTGGAGCATCTGTCCCCTGGTGGTCAGTGCACGTCATAGCAACCAGTCGACTGGTCGACTCTTGCCCCCTGGTGGTCAGTTCATGTCATAGCGACTGGTCAACCAGTCAACTGCCTGCCTCTTGGTGGTCAGTGCACATCATAGCAAGTGATTGAGTGACCTTATCATATCATTAGCATATTACGCTTTGATTGATTGAACGGTTGACCAGATGACCAGACACTTAACATATTAGGCTTTTATTATATAGGATACGTATTAACCTATTATTGTCCTTTAAATGGTAGATTTCTTGACAGAAGAATCTGTGATCAAATCTAAGTGTAAAATTATAGTGCTGTAATTGAAAAGGCTAAATTGTTATATAAACATCTATTTTATGGTCCAGCAATCCTACTCCTAGGTGGAGGATCTGCTCAAATTCTGGGCCCTAGCTACCTCATTTGCTTCAGTCTATTCTCTGCCTTGCCTTGGTACTTAACAAAGAGAAAGGAAAAATACATGACTACCAAAATATTTGCACAAGAATAGTCCCAGAAACATTATCCATAGTAGCCCCAAACTGGGAAGAACTCAAATGTCCATTAGTGGGAGAGTGGGGTAAGCAAAGAAGGGTATATAAATCAACAGTACTGATATATGCAACAACATGATGAACCTTAAAATTATTATGCTGAGCAAAAGAAGCCAGACACAATAGATTATATTCTTCTATATATATGATGTTCTAGAAAAATCAAAACTCATCCATGGTGGTAGATATAAAAACAGTGGTTGGGGGAAAGGATAATAGAAGAACTTATTTAAAGTAGCCTTGAGGGACTGGAATGCTGTAATGGAAATTTTTTTACTTTTTGATCAGGGTATTACATGGTATGTGTGTGTTTTTTTAAACTTGTCAAAACTCCCTGAGATATATCTTCTTTTTTTAAAAAAATGTTTTTATTGATTTCAGAGAGAGGGAGAGAGAAATAGAAACATCAGTGATGTGAGAATCAACTGTTGGCTATCTTTTGCATTCCTTCTACTGGGAATCAAGCCGAAACCTGGGCATGTGCCCTGACTGGGAATCAAACCATGACCTCCTGGCTCATGGGTTGATTCAATCACTGAGTCACCCAAACTGGGCTATACCTTAAAAAAAAAAAAAAAAAAAAGCCTGTTAAGTTATTTTTTTACTATAATATAGCCACAATATTATGTTGTTAATTAAGATGCCTGATCCAGTGGCATACTTCTGTGTATTTCTTTTTTTCTATAAGAAGAAATAATTTGAATTAGTTATTGCTTCTTAACAAATTACTACAGCACTTAGTGGTTTAAAATAGCAATAAACATTTATTATTTTATACAATTTCTCTGGATCTGGAATTCATAAATGGATTAACTGGGTTATTCTAGTTCAAGATCTCATGAGGTTGCCATCAATATATCAGTTGGGACTTTAGTCATCTGAAAGCTTGGCTGGAGTCAGGTGATCTATTTCTGAGATAGCTCATTCATTTTGTGCCATTTGTTGATAGGTCACTAGTTCCTCTCTGTCTAGATGGCCTTTCCACAGCCTCGTCGGAGCCTAGTGGGTAAGAAATAATGTTCTCAAAATTATTCAGTATTCACTTATGGTATTTGGGACAGAAGAAATGAAGTACTTTACCCTATGAAGGGAGAGGATAGAGTATTAAGAAAATATACTAGAGCTGGAATAGGGTCTCCACAGACATACCTATGCTACTATCCGAATTGCTCTATACTGGAATTGATGTTACTCATGGTCTTGCTTTCTCAGTCATTCCAAAGGACTTTGAAACTACTAGAGTAGTTTTCTGATCATCAGGATGGTAAACTGTAGAATGTTCCTTCTGATCTCTACGTTTTCTTCCTTTACTTATTAAAAGAACTGAAGCAGACAAGAGAAGCTGTTTACTCAGAAATTTCTATTTTCATTATTTTACCTCAACTGTCATTTTGTGTGTTCTTTTTACTTTCACTTGGCTATATAAGGATAAAGTTTATATTGTTTTGCCATTATATTGTTTTGCCAATAAGAGTAAATCAATTAGCTTATGAAATGTTTTATTTTTCTGTGTTCATTATCCTTGTTTTAGAGATGATAAATCTCATGACAGTGAACACCAATAGTTTCAATAATGTAAAGGTATAAAAAAGCCACCTTCTTCAATGCCTTTGTATATGTTTTCATGATGATAAAATGCTATAGGTGAAAGCATATTCTTTGAGCAAGTAGATAAACATGAATAACATTAAATGCAAATTTCATATGGTCTTTTATGCTATTTACATTTTACAACAGTCTTTTTCATTTATTTAAAATAGAACATTCAGCCAAAACCAGTTTGGCTCAATGGATAAAGCGTAGGCCTGCGGACTCTCAAAGGTCCCAGGTTCGATTCCTGTCAAGGGCATGTACCTTGGTTGTGAGCACATCCCCAGTAGGGGTGTGCAAGAGGCAGCTGATCGATGTTTCTCTCTCATCAATGTTTCTAACTCTCTATCCCTCTCTCTTCCTGTCTGTATACGTCAATAAAATATATTAAAAAACAACAACAAAAAAGTAAATAAATAAAATAGAAAATGCAGCCCTGGCCCGTGTGGCTCAGATGGTTGGGCTTTGTCCTGTGCATTGGGGGTTGGGGAAGGGTGGAGGGGAAGTTGCTGGTTTGATAACCAGTCAGGGCACATGCCTGGGTTGCAAGCTCCATCATGGTGAGGCGCATGATGGAGGGAGCCAATTGATATTCCGTTCTCACATAGGTGTTTCTTTTTCTCCCTCGCCCTACCCCTCTCTCTAAAAATCAATTAAAATATTTAAAAAAATAAAAGCACATGCAGTAACTTTAATGTGTGTGTGTGTGTGTATATATATATATATATATATATATATATATAGTATATATCTTCGTGTAATATATATAAATTTTTGTAAATAAAGTACTATTTTTTCAGCATTATGGTCATAGACTAAAATTCAATATTTTTCTTGTTCTTTTTGAAATGCAACATTCAACACTTACTGTCTTTGAGTAGAAATGTATCGGTCAGTGTCAGTTTTAAGTTGTTATCTGATCCATCCATCTAAATTAGTTTTGTGGAAAACTGACTTTTCACATATTTGGATTGCATTAGTCTCCAATAACAGAGTAGGTTTCATGTGCAGAGTAGATGTGCTGAAATTTTAATTAATTCTGTAACCTGTTTATGGAGAGTAAAAAGATGTTCTTATGGCTTATAAATCACTTCTTTCCCCAACTGCCAAAAGTAAACACACTGCACCTGTAAAATAAAGGCTGATGCAGAGTAAACAGGAAATATATTTAGATGGGGTTGCAATTTGAGACCCATGGATTTTACTTGTCCATCTGCCTCTAACTGTTGCAAAACTGTAAGCTGCTAGTTGTCTGGTAGTTACTTACGGTTGATTGGCTAAATTTAAACATCATCCAAGATGTATATCGTACTGGATTTACATTTTAAGTCTTTTGTAAAATTGATTGGATGGGGAATAGAAGCACAAAACCTAGAGAAGAATTTTGTGCCAATTTACTCACTAACTTTTTTCATAACAAATTTAATATCATTGAACTAAGTAATGTCCTAAAACATTGTAGTAGTAATTTGTATTACAAATATATTAAAATATCTGGAGGTTTCAGGTCCTACTAGAAAATTAGGCATTCTTTTTATAAGTTTAATGTCTGTAGAACCCTTTCAAGAATTCATGTTATCCAAACAAAATAATTTTTTTTATGATTGGGGGGTATTATTGAGTCAGTCTTTTGTAAACTTATTTGTGTAGACAGTTTGATAACCTGGTTGAAAGAGAAAACTTCTCATCATTTTTTAAGAGTCTATTCAAGCCTGAATAGGAATAATTAATAATTGGAGAATATTGTTCTCGATGTTTTTTTTTTTTTTTTTTTTTTTAATGTTGCTCGTTCCAGAGTTCAATTTTGTCAATATTTCTCTCCAGTTTTAGTTAACTGATCAAAATTATTTGTTGGAAACATAGAGGCATGGAATTAAATTAAACTCCCATAACAAGTAGGTTTCTAGTAAAACTAAAGTGTTTAGAAGATATGTTTGAAAATCATATATGCTTAATTGAATATATGCTTAATTGCTACTCTGAGTCAGATTCAAGATATTGAAAAGTGAAGAAATGTAAATCTCAACTCCTTTCTAAAAGATTTTCCAGAGGATATTAAAAAACAGATATATCTTCATCACTCCTATTAAAGGAAGCATGAGGAATTGGTTGGCCTTTTCATGTGTAGGTGCTATTTGGAAAGTATTTTCCCTTTCTGTTACTGTTATGCAGAGCATGAATTTCTGCTTAATCTATAATATAAACATGCCAGCAAGTGTAGTTCATAGACAGATACTCAGCAGAATTTTGGCACATACAAGCAAGTTTCTGCATTGACCTTAAATGTCCAAGTGAAGAAGGGTGAGTAGTGCAGGTATGTTTCTTTAATAACATGTAGTTTGTCATATGTTTTTAGGGTTATGGTTCTGAAAATTTATGCTATAACAAAATGCTCAGCATTGTAGAGGTTGTACATGGACACTTTGATGGGAAGCAGGTTATGCCTGCAGCTGTTCACGAGCTTGATGGAAAAAATGATCTGACTTAACTCACATGAGTAAGTTTTACTTGTCCCTATTAAAAGATTGCCTACTCACTGAATTAGATATTCCAAAGAATTTAGACACATTGTAGAATGCAGTCCAGAGTTGGATAATGAGCCACATGGCATAGTCATTGGAAATAGATAGTAGTCTCCTTATTTTAGATGTTACCTGATGGTGGAAGTTGAGGCACATTTTCTTTCTTCAAGGGCTCTAGTTTCAAAGTGCATTTGAAGTTATTGCTATGTAGTCAAATAACTTAGAGATTTATATAATTTATGTATGTTTTTCTTCCTATTTTATTGTTTTGTATAAAGAGAGAAAATAATACCAAAAGATGCCCTTTTCTCAGGCTTAGAATCCTGCAGCTACCTTTTGCATTCACCCTCTCCAGTGTCCTATGGTATATCCTATTCATTGTCAAATAACATTAATACAGCCTTGGTGCTATTGCTTACATCTCTGCTGTTCTCTACAATCTTTAGTTCAGCTCTTCATCATCAAATAGCATGACTATGGCAACCTTCTCTCAGCTGGTCTTCCTGCCTTTAGTCTTTCCATATTCCAATCATTCCTACTTTCTGCTAGTATATTAATATTTTTAAAAATAACTTCATTCCCTGCTCAGAAACATTTGGCTGCTCTCCAGTGTGTGTGTGTGTGTGTGTGTGTGTGTGTGTGTGTGTGTGTGTGTGTGTGTATTATGTATGTATGTGTGAAGAAAATGCATTATATAGTCATAAGACAGACTTCAGTATAATTCTGTATTTCCAAATAGTGTCTAAATTGTACAAATAGTTTTTATTGTTACCAATATATACTTGAGAAGATTGAGTGCCAGTGAATTTAAATATACCATGAAAACTGTGCTTTTTGTCCAACAGTGTATTTTCATTCCTTAGCGTACAGCACTTGTTCAAGGAACTCACTTAACTCTCTCTGTAACCTTCTGCACTATACCACTGAACCAAAGCAAAAATTGTGTTTTCCTTCTCCAAATTCTTTTATTATATTGGTTCTCTTTAGTTGCAATGTAACTTTCCCCTCTAGCTTATAATTGTTTGCCTACAATTATAGAATTAAGAAAGTATGGTTTACCTTCCCTAATTAACTGTACCCTTTTGACATGTATACTATAATTTTTCATTTTCCTGTGTCCTAACGAATAACTTCTTATAAGAATTTGTGTGTAGTTAATGTGCTGTAAATTAACTTTAATGAACTAAATATGTTTTTAGTTTAGTCACACAGTTTGAATTCTCCTTCCTTTAAAGTTCTTTTAAATTATGTGCCATAATTTTATTTCCCAGACATGACTTTTGGTGAAAATATTATGCAATTGTTATTTTGGTAATTTGTTAATTATTTTCTTAAAATTTTTAAAACTATTTTTATTATTGATACTATTACATATATCTCTATCTCTCCCCCCCCCAGCCTGTTCCCCACCTGCACCTAGACCCTGCCCCTCCTCCTCTCTGACCATCAATCACTGTTGTCTGTATATATGGGTTATGCATATATGTTCTTTAGTTACTTTCTTCACATTCTTTCATCTAGTGCCCACTCTCCCCTTGCCTCTGATAACTGTCTGTCTGTTCCATTGAAGATACTTTTTCTTTTTAAAAACAGACTGATTAAAGGAAACAACTTGTTGACTTCCATTCCCATGGTTCTGAGGAAGAATGCACTTCTAATTTCATTCAGGTTGTTGGCAGAATTCAGTTCCTTGCAATTTTAGAACTGAGATCCTTGTTTACTATTGTGATTACTGTCCATCGGAAACTGCTCTCAGCTTCTAAAGGCCATCTGCATCTCCAAAGCTAGCAATGGAGAATCTTGTTCATATCACGTCTCCCTCATGCCAGGAATCTCTCATTTCCTTTGTCTCTAACCTCTAGATATAAATTTCAAGGACTCAGATGATAAGGCC